CTGTTTTTTAGATATTTTTGGGTTTTTTTACCCGCCTCGCTAAAAAGCAAGGCGATTTAAAAATTTTGTGAGAAATATTTTTGCACACAAGAAGATTCTTCCGTTCGTGATTATTTGAGAGTGACTCTGTACAGTATTTTTGGTTTTTTATAGACGCGGATTTTTAAAAAAAACAGGAAGTACATTTTATGTTTCTACATCGTTTTTTATGTTTAGATATTAGTATGACCCTATTTGGGGATAGTATTTGTGATATAAATATACTTGTGTAGACTTCTGTAATATCATAATCATGATGATTTGTGCTTGCAACGTGTGTAAAGTGTGGAAAGTCGGTAGTGAAAAGGTCACATGTGAGAAGATTAAATGTTGTTGCGACGAATACGTGTGTTTAATGACGTATAATGACCGCGCATATTATGTCTGTTCGGATAAAACGTATACAAGCAGCGAATTAGGTGGATATTTTTGCGGATTTCAAATCGATGCCGAAAAGGAAACATCTATGCAGTACATACGTATTATGAATGAGTTGGAAGAGTATATTTTCTACATGTTATATCGAGACCCCTGCGCATGTGGTGTACAGACAAAGGCTGTGTTAAAACGTGTTAGTTATTCGACACCGTCGTATATGAGGGGGTGTAATGCGACGCAAGAATTGCAAATATTCTACGTTTGCGGCACGGGTTGTTGTGATGTCGAGGACTCTGTTGTGGAAATTGTCGCAAAACGAAATAGAATAAGGTGTTTATGTGGGCGAGAGTGTGTGTACCAATACGGTTGCTATAGCTGTCCGAAAGTTGGTGGGGGTTGTGGTGTCTGCTTTCACGAAATGGACTCGTTAACATACATACATACGTGGCTAGTAAATAAACAAAAATCGTTGACATTGTATCCACCGCGAATATGTCATTTCAAACCTGTAATTAAATATATATTAGAAAAGCAGAAACTGTGTTATATATGTAGACATACCGAGACATGTGAAAATGTTTTGTTTTGTTAAATAAATATTTTTTTTAACACCAATAACACCATCCTTGTTGAGAACACTCGCAAAATTGTGATTTTTGTATCTTCTTATCTTTATCCCGTTGCCTTTGCTGCTCTATTTTCACATCTAATTTACGGATCATTTCACACATATAACATGCACAATTACACACACAACGTTCCTCCTCACAAACACACGTACACTCCATTATCGCTACCCAAGTACAACTAACATATACAAGTGAAAACGTTTTTGTTTTGTTAATTTTTTTATTTGTTATAAGCATATATATATATAATGTATTTACAGGAAAAGCATCCATAAATTACCACCTTGTTGTTTTTTTTTTTTGTTTCATCGTTTTCTATACAAATAAAACCGGTTGTTTTTTAGGCGATCTTTTCTTGTTAAAATTTCAGTTTTTTACCGTTTTACACGAGGCCTACCTCTACGCCTGCTAGGTGGTGGTGGGTAGTAACTTGGTGGTGGTCGGTAATAGTAACGCGGCTGGGCTTGATAATGATAGGGTTGGTACGACGAATTTCTCGATCTCATTGATTGATTACCCTGATTGCCCTGCCTTTGATTTACATTCACATTTATGGGTTTAGATTTTGATTTTCCCCCTCCAAATAAACTGCTTAGAAAACCACCATCTTGTTTAGTTGTCGGTTTCCCACGTTGATATTTAGCCCCCTTAAAATTCCCGCCGTATTGACGATATCGACGTGAGCGAGTTTTCACCATCTTAGCTTTAATTTTGTCAGCAAATGATTACTTTTGTAAAACACCCATGTACTTATAGGGTCATGTAAGGTTTTTGTCTGTATATAAGATTGAAAAGAAATTATACACACATAAAAACTACAAAATGAGAAGACGCTTGTTTTGCAACGACAGCTGGTATTATGTAAATTTAAGTTTTTCAAAATTATTAGAATGTACAACGAAATATGTGCGTTTCGAAGTGGAGTATTATCGTCGCGGACGTTATGTGCGACGTATTGTAACTAAAGAGTTTAATTTGGCAGAGTTTTTCATCACCGTGGTGGGATGGCATTTCTATGGTGACGATGATCATCTTTTAAAATACCTGTTGAGGGAATTTTTTAAACAATGTGATTATACCTTTCTACATTTTGAAAATACGATTCATTACCGTCGAACACAGCTGGCGTATTATCTAATAAAATATTACAATATATGGATTAAAGACGATTTAATCTGGTACGCACTAAATTCAATACCATATACGCTTTATAATTACAGTCAAAATTTAACAAATTTAAAATATCGAAAACAGTATGATTGGATGTAAAGGGATAACGTTTTTTTCGTTATTTGATGAATCACAGTAAATTCGATACAACTTCTGTGTATTGGGTGACTTGTTTGTACAATAAGGACGAACTTGTCTACGTTGGTTATCAGTACGATTGTATTCATTTGGGTAAAACCGAATACGCATTTTACGTCAGTTTTCCCGGTGGTTGGATCCGTCGTGAATTTTCAATATTACCCGAAAGAAATGTTAGTACACAACATTTAATAGACAGCTATGTACTATATTCAAACAATCGAATAACTGCATTGAGAAGACTTTTTGGTTTAATTCGCGATGGTCTACATGATGCTTCAGATGATAAAGAATTGAGACAACATATAATCGACATTTATCTAAAGGATAGCATTTACATCACGCAAAGGTTATACGATGTTATGTCTGAATTTGCACGAAAAAGAAAAGTGACAATTTTTGAGGACGCAACCGGACAACCCGACGGACATATTGTAAATTTGGACAATGTTTAAAAACAAGAGAAAAAAGTTATTTTTTGAAAAACAAGAAAAGAAGAAATATACATTATCACGATATAAATTTACATTTTTATATATGGATGTTTTATACCCTGTTTCATATATATTAAAAGCAGATATTACACGTCGAACATCATCATATTATAATGTAGCACTTATCTTACAAGCGCATATCGGCGAGACGTCTGAACATTATATTTTCAGCGGCTCCCATGTATATCGCTTGGGTGGTAGCAGGACAATGAATAGAATTGTACAATTTGTTTTTTATATACAATGGTTGTATTATACTAAAATATGTTATGCTAAAAATATTCACACTATCCGTAAACATTTTTTAAAAAACAACCTAGTTATTGACGATAGCGTACTCCCGCTTATTATATATGCATCTATAAATGAGTTGTTTTTAGAAATAAACCCCCATTGACTTGAATTCATTCATATAAGATGTGTGTGCGTGTGTTTTTCAAAAATAATAATAATAATGAATATTTATACAACGACGTCTTGGTCTGGTTTGGGAGAATGTTCTAACCCGCTAATTCGGGAAATATTTGAGGAAGAACTATGTTGCTATCTAGCTGTTTACACAAAACCTATGATAAAAATTTTGCGTGGAAAAGATTGCTGTGATTTAATGTTGCTTATGGTTAATGACGATTCTTTTACGGGTATTTCGGGTTATTATCGCTTGTTAGTTTTAGGGTATATCCTTGTGACCTTATATGGTCATATTGATTTTTCATGTTCCGAATATAAATATATGTTTCTTGAGAAAATAACACATATACATCAAAAAATATGTGATCATATTAAAGGTGTGATAGCAAAAACATTTTTGATAAATACCGCAATGTTTGCCGGACTGGGTTATGTAGTCTATAAAATGCTGTTTTAAAAAACCAACAGTCACAGTATCAGATACAACCACAGCGTACACGATGGCAAAAACACAACAAGAGATGCCAGTATGTGAAATGTATGAAAAGCAAAATGCAACACACGTCACGGAATTGGGGTCGTATCAAAATAAGACCAAAAAAATGCTATGGTATCAGCGGTGGAATGAAAAATGTTGCATTGCATCATGTGTCGGTACGAAGGGTGGCGATAAGCATTTATACAAGATGAAATTTGTGTTGACGACCGAGCAGCTTCGCACGGTCTACGAGTCACTCAAGACCTGCAAGAAAAGCGGTAGTAATTACGTCATTATTACCGAATATGAAGATTGGCAGAAAAATCTCATTCGTATTGTCTTGAAAGACAGCAAATACCGCGGTTTGGTTCTGGTGAGGTTACAAGCTGTGAAACCCGAAGATGAATTGGACGCCGATGTTCCCGACGGTCTGGAGGATGATGTGCCGACCAGCCAAGCGTTGTACCCCGCCGATGCTGTCGAATTGGATTGGGAAGAGCAGTGGTCAAAATGTTATATTTCCAAAAATGAAAATTGGAGTTATGTTGCCAAGAAAATTAACGAGTTTCTAATCGCAGTCGAGCATGAGCAAGATGTCGATGATCAGTCCTTGATGACCCCCGCATTACCCACTCCCCCGCCACCACCACCACAGGGAAAAACGTTAAAAAGAAAAGAACCGGTAAAAGCAGGGTTAGCTAAACAGCCTGTGAAGAAAAGACGTACTATCGCAGCAGATGAGGATGAGGTAAACAACTTTGCCACTTGGTATAACGATATAAAACTATACGGTAGTTCACAAAATTTTCAAACACGCATAAGTCGAGTTATTAAAGGGTTGTTGATGAAAATATTAAAAGAAAATATCTCATTTGAAACAGCATTAGAGTTTTTCAACCCTCAAGGTGAATTTGACATATTACAAACAACGTCTTTAAAAGATAATATAATGGAGACAGTGAATCGGTTGCATGGTCTTTATGAAACGTCTGGCATGTCCATGGATAGTTTTACGACTATTTTTCATTGATTTTTCCCTTTTTTTTTAGTATCGTAAAGCTGTGTCGCTTATTATAGCTGTGATGCAACGTGAAAAAATTAATTGCAAAGACGCGGTATTTTTATATGCGCGTGAAATGAATGAAGAATATGAGTATAACTATCTCGACATGATCAAACGAGATGATAATATAAATAACATAGATCTGATGTATGCTGAAATGATTGATAAACATTTGTTATATTAATTTATTTTATTTAGTAATGGCAAAGACTTCAGCAACAAAACGTAAGAATGCAGAACTGATTAAAAAAACATCGCGTTTGTTAAAACACGAGAGATTAAATAATAAACAAAAAGAAGCATATACATTACATAGTAGAAAATTTACCAAATATAAACGTCTACCCATCAATGTATATAGCCGTAATGCACAGTGGAGTATTGATTTAGCAGATTTGCATAACTTATCAAAATTTAATAACCAATATCGCTATTTGCTTGTGTGTGTTGATATTTATTCCCGTTACGCTTTCGTGCGCCCGTTAAAGACAAAAACGGCACGTAATGTGTCAAATAAATTTGAAGATATACTTATCAAAGAAAAAGAAATTCCTGTGAAAATTCAAAGTGATGAGGGGACAGAATTTGCACTGATAAAAAGAGATTTGTGTAAAAAATATGGTTTCACCCTTTTTCATACGTACAATCGGGAAACGAAAGCTGTGCATGCCGAACGATTTATCGAAATGCTTAAGCAGAGTATTATGCGTTCAATGACGGGGTTGGATCAAGGTTACGGATACATCCAAAATTTGAAATTGATTGTCGAACGATATAACGAAGCGCCTCACAGAGGCTTATATAATTTGACACCTTTTGACGTGTACAAACGGGGTAAACAACCCGACACATTCCGAAGATTGAAAGCGATGTTAAATGATAACCCGACACCTGTACGTCTATTAAAACAGGGTCAACATGTGCGGATTGCAAGAATTAAAAATAATGTTTTTGAAAAATCAAGTTTGAGACGATGGGTGAAGGAAATTTTTCGTATTAAAAAGGTGTACATATCCGATCCTGTTACGTATTCGCTTGAAGACCTGAAGGGTGAAGAAATCACGGGAATTTTCTATCGTCGTGAATTGCAACCGATATGAATATTCAAATTGTCAGTAATGCGAGAAATGCCGTTGGCGGTACGAATTACACCAACGAGTTTGTCATGCCATTACCCACGTTATTAGATGCTGAAAATAAAGAGTTATTTATGCGTGTTTTAAATTTCTCGTATCCCTTGACTATTGAAAATGTTAAACATGAGCAGTGTGGTGTACAACTTTTTATGCGTTTTCCTACACAGTCTGATTCGGGTATCGAGATTAATTTTAAGACACACATGATGTATTTACCCGAGGGTTCGTACACGTTACAGAAACTTATTGATACCCTGAATACATTTGTCTCTGAATATGATGTGAATTTTACAATTTTAAATAATTCACGTATCGGTGTAACGTACAGTATCGAACGTGAATATTGGCATTCTGATGAAACCATAAAAAGAGTTGGATCAAAACCCCCCCATCAAATATTCAACGTTTTTTCCCAAAATACCGACAATGGCGACGAATTTGAAATGGTCTTTACTGAATCGTTGGAATATATGCTGGGTATGCGAGAAATAAAACTTCATCCTGATGTTATCAAAAAAAAATTACAAAGATCACTCTTTCCATCAACTATTAAGGCTAGCTTTTATTATATGAATAAAACAAATGCAAGTGGGGATAATAAATTTGCTTGTTCATTCATGGGTAAAGCCCTTCCCGATATTTCCAATGGTGTTGATAAAATGTTTGTATATTGTGAACAATTGGAGATGTCCGTTGTAGGAGATACATATGCTCCTTTGTTAATCATTGTACCCTTAAACAACAACGACCGCGGTAGTGGTGCATTGCAAGTATATACACCGCCGAATACACGTCGTAGATTAATCAAAAGTAAAATTGATCAATTTAAAGTTACAATTTACGATACAACACATACGCTAATACCGTTTACCAGCGGAACTGTGAATATCGAGTGTGTTGTGGAATAAAAAATGTTAAGGATTGAATTAGAAGTAAAACCCGATCGTCCTAAAGAACTTGTACCCGTAAAATATGAATACAGCTCGGAAGTAAAAGGTTCTCATAAATTAATGTATTATACGGTGGCACATGTTACGGGTATATTTGGCGGTTATAAATTATCGGTAGCAAGAAAACACGATGTTACTAACAAATTAACGGCTGGTGAAATCCAAGCAGGTGGCGGTATTTTCTGGGGTGGCAAAGATTACGCCACGTGGCGTGGAAAAGACACCTACCATTATTATACCCAGAAACGACATTTATTATTTGAACGATTTGAACAAATGTCTAATAACCGTATAATAATTCCCCCATCAAATTCGACGGTAAAAACATTGTTGCCTAATTGTTTATTGACCGTACGAAATGTTCGGGAATTAGACGAGAATGTGAAATTTATATTTGAACGCACACCGGGATATAATGTGGATAGTTTTGCACTGGCTAGCGGTGTTTTAAACCGTTCAAAATTATCCATTGTTCTGAACATCTACGAGAATCTATAACACCATGTGTAAAAAAAATAAAATATTCATTCATCATGCAGCAATCAGACTATGAAAAGCTGTTAAAAGGCGGCGGTACGCGTTATAAGGGTACACGTTTGTATGTATTACCAGGGAAAGCATCAACTGTTGAAGAACGTGCTGCCGGGAATATTTGCCCGCCAGCCCAATTAAATCCGGACTACGAACGAAATCCAAAATTGCAAAGGGTTGGTAAAATAAAACCAAGAGAACCCAAACAACCGCAAGTAAGACGTGAAAATACATCCATACCACCTGAACTTTTAAAATTAATCTATGGGAAGTAAACGTAGAACAAGACGAAAGACAAAAAAAGGGAAAAGAAAGCAAATAGGGGGTTTTGGTCCCGCTGCGGGTATTGCATTGGGGATGGCGCTACCCATGTTATTAAATACTGGTACAAGTGTTGTGGGTAGTATTTTTGGTAAAAAAACCCGCACAAAGACCGACACAAAGTGTGAATACTAATACGGGTAATAGACCACAACCTTCATGGATGCAAGACAGTGCACCACGAAGACGTCGCAGACAACCCCCCCCAGCGTTATTATGACGATTATTATTGATTGTATATAATTTGTTTGTTTAATAAAATTTTTAAAAAAATTAAAAAAAAGTGTGTGTGTTTTTTTTAAAAGGAAATACTCTTTTAAAATAGTTTCATTAGTTCATTGAACAGCATCAGGATGAAACGTGCAAGACAATCAGCTGCTCAAGATGCGGAACCCATTGAGGAACATGATAGCGGATTTGTGGGACCTATGGAATTATTTAATAATTTCCCACATAATGACACATTCGCAGAAACACGTACGCTGGAATTACTACCCAATCCTAACACCGATAATGCCGAAATTTATACATTTATGCATAATCGACAAGATTACGGTGTGTTAGATTTGGTCGATGCTAAAATATCTGCAAATTTAAGTATTAAGTTGGCAAATGGTAACGCACCGGCTGACGATCTTAACGTGGCCGTTAACCAAGCACCGTTACGTTACGGTTGGAAAACAAAAGCTGTGTATTTAAATAATCAATTAATCACACCACAATCCAGCAAAGAAAATGAATTGGAAAATATACATGATTTTCTAACAACCGTTCCTTCAGAATATCTCGATGATAAAGAGATTACTATGATGATTCGTGATACACCCGGTGTGATGGATAATGTGACAAATCTACATCATGATACGGATGCCACGGGCAATGTAAATCTTGGTGCGCGAGAAAGATATGTATTGTTAAGTAGAGCTTTGGTTTATCGTTGTATTGATAAAATCGACATGTTGGGGCGTGTAAAACGTTATGTGCCAACATCGTTTGATATCAAAGTGGTTTTAACAAGATTAGAGCATACAAAAGTTTTTTATGGTACGGCTGCAAGTTGTGCAACTGTGGGTTTAAGAATGAATGATTTAAAATTAATAATGCCGATTTTAAAACCCAACGCTCAATTAAGCGCCGCCATTAATTCTTTGAGGATTCAAAAAGGTGAAGAATGTCGTTTTTATAAAATCACACATCGTCATGTTGCACTACCCATATTGGTTGGCTCCCGACACATTACACACAAAGATATTTTCAATGGAGCAAGACCCACACGTCTCATCACAAAAATTGTGTCGCAAGCACGTTACAACGGATCGTATATATTATCCCCCTATAAATGTCCGTTTCCGAATTTCGTGCGTTTTGCAGTTAGCATCAACGAAGCTGAAATACCGCCGGTAATTAGCGATGCAAAAGAGGCGTATATTAATTTACGTCAATCTTTAGATCGACGTCATAGCGAAATGCCATGTACATATTCCGAATATGTATCCGATTTTGGAATGATTGTAACCGACTTATCACCAAATCGCGATGGTTTTTCACAAGTTTTACCTAATTCAACAAGTGGGAATTTGGGCATAAAGATTGATTTTCGTGTGGATACCACAGTAGCGCAACAACTGATTTGTGTTGGTGAATTTAGAAATCAAATGAGCGTGGGTTATGGTACACAAGCACGTTTAAAATATCAAGTGTAATTTTTTGCTTGTATAAACAGGTTATAAAACATCAGTAACATATCCAATTTGAATTAGTTTTTTAAACATGGTTAAACAACGCGGTTGTCGACGACGCAGAAAAAAGGGTAAAGGAAGAAAGCAAAAAGGGGGTGGGGATTTTTGGACAACCTTCGCAAAAGTTGCTAGCGATACACGTCCGAGAAAATCAGATTTTCAAAAAGGTGGTTTTACAAAGAAACAAAGAGGTGGTTTTGGAGATAGTTGGCTGATTCAAAAGAAAAAAAATCAAAGGGGTGGTGTATATTGGGGAAAGAAAATGTTTGGAAAACCTGAATAAAGTGAGATGTGATTGTGTATTTTTTTCATTTGCACGATGCCGTTACACGTGATCCCAGACAAACCCTTAAAACAAGGACCCCCTAAAAAACAAGAATCTTTTGTGAGACGACCGCGACCACCAAACACTGTAATTATCAGCAATAAAGGAGTGAATATTCAAACTGTTCACGTAAATAGTGTAATTTCAAAATATGCCTGATAATACAGATTTTAATCCTGATGTAAACGAAGATGTAAACCTAACGGGTTATTCTGATACGGATGATGAATGCGAAGTTGATGAAAATATCAACGAAACTAATGCGGAGGATAATACGGTAAACCCTGTACAAGGAGATACAACGGATACGACGATTGATGAAAATCTTCAACCGTATGATGCCGAACAATATGTAAATTACGCATCCGGAGATGGTGATGATGAAGGTGATGATGGTAATGATGACGATGATGATGTGGGTTTAAATGAGCAAGTAATACAAGGTTTTTTCAAACAACTATTGCAAATACAAGAACAAGTTGAGAAAAAAAAGAAAGATAATCGTCTCATACCGTCTATTTCAAATTATATGAAGTTAGATTTGGATCAAAAAAGTCAACAAATTTCGCCAACTATTACACGCCATCTGTTACACGTGTGTAATTTACTGGTTCACAATAAATTTGATATAAAAATAGATTACGGCGACCGTGGTGTTTTAGAATATATTACCGGTAAAGATTGTCCAAAAAAAGATATAAAATTTACGCTTGTTGAAGATATGCGCATTCACAGTTATATTCGGAAAGCCGTTAGACAACTGGAGACGATCAAGAAAGCAGAGGAAATAAAAAATGGGCGAAGAAGTAAAAAGATTAGCACTGATAGACGCGAATAAATTTAACAGTCTAATGGACATGCTAACAAAAAATAATGCAAGAGACGAATTATTAAATAGCGCGAAACAAAGCAGCGAAGAGGCGGGTCTTATTGAAAGTCGACAAGAAGCTAAAAAATCGGTTAGAAATAACGCGTCAACGGCAGGCAACGATATCATTAATTATCTAAGAAAAACTGATAGTTATAGAAAATCTGTTGGTCTTGATCAGCCTGATGATGAAGCCGCAGAAAATGCTACACCGCCGGCGACAGCCGGTCCCTCGGGTGCAGGTCATAAACCGGGTACTGTCGCAGCTTCGGTGGCAAAAATCGAAGAGCATTTTCAAAAAAACGATATAAAACCGATTGCGACGGGTATCAATGCAGCGGGTGTCAATATGAATATCTCCTATCAAGATATGTTGGAAGATTTAACATGCAATTACACACAGACGCAACCGAATCTAGATGCAAATAATCGTCGACGTATGTTACTACTATTAAAAAAAACAAATATGCCCACATCGTATATACGTAATAAAAGACTTAAAGAAGAGTACAAAAATATTATAAATCATAGCAAGAAAGCACCCATACCGACACCAACACGTATTCCCCAACCGAAAGGGAAATACAGAAGAAGAGATAGAGGATATCTTTCAGACGATTAAAATGACATCGTTAATTTGTTTCATCAGTAAATTCCTAAACACCGACGACATTGATAAATTGGCAAGCGGAAACAGCGTTGTTAAACCGTATTACTTGGGTTGTTATCCGGCCAATAATTACCCTAAAACTATCAAAGATCGTTGTTGTTGGGTATGGAATACCGACGAGGATGATAAAGACGGAACACATTGGGTGTGTGTTGTAAAAGATTATCAAAATATTATATTTTTTGATAGTTTTGGAAAGACACCTCGTTTCTTCGACCGTGCATACTGGTTGAATTATTTCCGTAGTTTACACTGTAATTTTTCTATACACACACAAATGCAACGTCAATCATACGTCAGTAAAACCTGTGGTGCGTGGTGTTTATTATTTCTACACGGTTTCTATAGAGACATCGATATTATCGATATATTTTCGGTTAAACAAGATGAACTTGTAGAAAATGAAAAGAAATTAAAACAATTAGTATATGATGCATATCCCGCCATAATCCCTGTATATAAGAGTAAATGTAATAAAAGTAAAGGTCAAATCTGTAAAACATATATAGAAGCATTTCAACAATATATGTAATTTTTTTATTAATATATATATATATTTTACACAAATTGTTTCTCTGTATTATAAATTATTGTACATTCATTGGGTAGTATACCCGTTCGAACACGCGTATTGGCTGGCGAATGAGGGCATCCGTCAAACAACACATATCCGTATTGTTTTTTACCCACATCACTTAATATTTTTCGTATCGTGGATAGAGGGATGCCCTTATTGCGAGCTATCAATTCAATATCTCGAGTATCAGTGTGGTTGTTGAACAGAAGATGGTACATGCTGTTCACTCGCATACTTCGTAATTTTCCATTGCCGTAATTTAACGTTTGACATACAAAAAATATAGAGAGATTCAAATGATGGCTATCGCGTGTAGCTAGGTTATTCAAATTTTCAGTACCCTCCCTAGTTGCTAAAGCAAGGACCATTAGGTCATCGAGAACAAGTAGAGTGCGTTCACCCAATAATGGTTTTATGGCTTCTAGCGAGGGTATACCCAATCGTGCACAGTCGTAGAATTCACATTGCTTAAGTGCTGATGTTTCGTGATTTGCATCCACATGATCTAGAATTTCAGCATATATAGGTTGTTCGGCCGTGTATAAGTACAGTAGTTTGTCTGGTACGGGTACAATTAGTTCGTCAATGTTTTTAATCATATCGAACATCAAGCGTGTTTTACCCGATTGTGTCGGTCCACATATTGTCATCATAAAAGGATGTTGTAGCGGTATTGTTACGTCGTGTATACAGTCGTGTTTTGTTTTCTAGAAAAAAAAGGCATAAAAAATCATTACCGGTAACCGAAGGGTGTAGTTGTAAAATTTTCATGTACTACACGCTTATCGAAAGTGAATTTAAAGGTTTTCGTGTTCTGTTGTACCGAAATATTCTGTGTGTTTTCTCGCACAAATTCCCTGTAGGTAATTTCAATTTCCTTCCCGTGATCTTCTACACACTCTCGAATACTGTCAAATGTTAATAATTTTTTTGCCGGTCCTTTTACGGAAAAACCCTTTACATGTACAATTTCATCTTGTTGTTGACTTTCGCTACCGTCATCGTTAAAACGCGTATAGACATTTGTACGATAGGAATAAGCCTTTGGTCCTGCCGAACAAAATTGTGTGATCCATTTTGCAGTTGTTTTTTTTTCAACTAATTCATCGGTCATTTGACCCAAATATTCGCCTGTTTCAAGAAATTTACCGTTCGCAGGGTCTTCTATAAAAATCACAGAATCCGTATCGTAGTACAACACATTCTCTCCTAATTTAAGCAAATACTCTAATAATTCCAGACATGCATACGCTGTAACAAATGACGCGATAATCACGTTACGATTTGGCAAAGGTGTTAGACTGGTGGTCTTTCTGTGTGTTGTTCTCGCAATATTTGGGCTGATAAAATCCAAAGAGGTGACATCCACCGTACGATCATTTACTAATTCTAATAAGTCATCCATGCAATCTAAAAACGACACAACAGTGACATCTTCATTTTGAGCCAATTTACCCCACAACGAATTGAGTAAAGCTTTCATGACCGTTCTTTGACCCACATTATATGACATTTTACAGGCGTCTAAAACAACACCCTCATGCTTTAGATAATCGTCGATATATTTTTGTAATTTCTCTTTCACCACCTCACCGTTTTGATCTAAACATTTTTTCGGTACGCCGCTACTTTCTTGTTTAAGTTTTATAAATGTGTTCACATATTGATCGAATATTTTTTCACGTTTTTCATGATAAATTTCATAAACAACTAACATACGATAATTTAATTGTAAAGCTTTTTGAATTTCTATACTCGTCCACGTACCGTACAACGCGCGCTGCTCATCGTCATGTTGACATGTCTCACATTGCTGACGTAGCACACATGTGCTGCAAAGGGGAAATGTTAATTTCACGGAACGATACGGTAATACGGGAAATAATAAATGCGTGGGTGGTAAAATTTTACATTTGATCAAACCAAACACTTGGTTGACGTCAACATTTTCACAATCACGACCCCTAAGAATGACGGGATGCTGTGTCGGATATTCAAATTTCTTTTGAACATACGGGTAAAGGGAGCAGACGTCAAAATACATGGCGCGTAAACCGGTATCAGTCATATCATAATATAATCTCGCGGGAGATGTACGCCCACCAAACAAAGCGTCACGTGGTTCCAATTGTATAAATTCAAAAAATGACGTAAGACGTAATTGTTTTAAACGATACGGTGTCATGTCGACGTCATTGCGATAATCGCATTCCCATTTTTCGACAACGGTGTACCCTGCTTGTCGAAACATTCGCGATAAACGTTCTGTGCTGGTTAAAAGTGTGAAAAATTTAGCAGACAATATCCTATTATAGCATGCGCCGTCATAACAGCGGGGACAACCGTGATAGAAGCATCCGTGGAATTGATAAATTGTTTTGGTGGCTTCACAATACCCATCGACATAATGACCCATTATACGACGTTCCCCACCAACACTTAGCTTACAACATAATTTTAAATTGTTCTCATCTAGCATGCGGGTAATATCTTTCAACCAGCATAATGCAATGGCACTTTGATTGATATTCACACCTCCATAACCGCATGCTGGAACTTGACCAATTTGTTCTTCTTTTAAAAAATTTTTTCGATATATTTTTAAATTTTTACATGTGCGATCGTAGAAGGGTAATACACCCGTAATCCGATAGATAAGTCTGGCGAAAATAATACAACCCTGTCTCAAAATGTCCACATCCAAACGACAATAATAATAGATCGCTTCACGAAACACATACGGTTTGCTTTGTTGTTCTTTATACCATTTATCAAAAGCTTTCCTTTCCTCGCTACCCTCGGGAGCTAAATCAAAATATTCTAAACCCACCATCTCGCCAACGTAATTTAAATCTGTAAACAGATAGGGGTGATAACCCTTCGTCACATCCGGAATTCCTAAAGCTTCGGGAAATTTAGCCAACCTCATTGCAAGAAACATATAGCTATCGATTACTTTCAAATTACGTTCTTCCAATTCTAAAGACATAACCTTACTGCCGTTCATGACGACATTCGGTACGAGTTTTCGTTCAACTAATAATTCACGCATTAAAAAAATATCAAATCGCCCGCCGTTATGTGTAACCCAGACGCTATTTTTGGGTTGAATCATCATGAAATCCACCAAATCGGACACGATATCCTCGTTGTTTTTTTCAAAAACATATTGTCTGTAACCGCAACAGACGACCGGTTCGACAGAGATATCTACAAACGATTCGGTAGGGTGTGGTAAAAAATGCTGATAGTTTTTCACGAATGGTTTTTCGTCGCAAACATCGCAGACTTTTTGTACAACGCAATAGAACGGTGTCATATAGATATCACCCTCCTCTACACGTGTTTCAAAATCATAAAAATACAACGTGGGTCGAGATTCATTTTTTTGCTCCTTTACAGGTTTAATGTAGCAGTGATGATCTTTTTTTTTTATTTTATCACAATGCACACAGAACATCTCGTCGCATTTGTGTTTCGTATACGTTTTGCTACTTTTAAGCATTTTACGTGGCACCGTTTTGTAACATACAGCGCAGAAAAAAAAACGTTGACAGCTTGTTTCGGTTGTCAACACACCGTTTACATATGTCTTAAACACCCTTTGCGTCAAATGTTTAGTAAAACAATCGGGATTGTAAAAAATAACATCGCACTCTGTACACTGTTGCAAAAAACCCTCAACGGGGACACATTTGCTTGTGTTACTATAACAACGATGACACGTCATACTCAAAACGCACACGTGCGTGTCTTTTCGTTCGTGTCTACGAAAATAGCGCATGCAAGCAAAACAAAACCTTCCCAAATTTAAACGTGCAAACGTATACGGCGAAGTCACTAAAATAGTGTTTTTCGTTGAGCCATAAAAAAATAACATTATTCGTAATACGATGTATTTGACAATCACCACCATCTAATCGTGAATCGTATACAATACTGTCGGCTTGTTGTTTTGAAAAAACAACCAAATCGATCCCGTCAGATTTCAAATATTTTTCATACACGTCCCTTAATTGATCAACACGAACGGGTAGACCCACGGGCAACCGACTAGCCGTATACACGTTTGTAATAGCTTCGTCTGTGTATATACTACTTAAAGGTATGTTACTGTTGCGTTTCAGTTTGTGTGCGTTTGAGTCATTGTGCAGATAGGATTTACCCACTAGAAGTGCTAAAGCCAAACAACAATTTTTAACATTTGAAGTACCGATCTGAAAAACACCATGGCGAACTTCACGACCATGTTTTAACGCCGGGTTATTTTGTTTACCGCTACCGGACTCTGTGGTGTTTTTTCCAAAATATTTATACAATTTATTTTGTTTTTTCTTTTTTACCCGCGACGTTTTATTACGCGAAACATAATTATTTGGAAAAATATACAAGCTAACGGTGGTATTCCAGCCATTATTTATAATCTCTTCTGCATTACTTTGCATGTGTTTCTCGAAAATATTAAAAAACATCTCCGGTGTAAAATCCGTGACAGTTAACACGCTTGTGGAAAAAGGAGTACGTGGGGCATTCGAGATAAAAAATCTAGCCTTGTCTGTGTTCGTCTGAGCATAATACAATGCGGTATTTATTAAATACTCGAATACACGTCGTAAATTTACCAAAAACTCAGGTAAATTCGACATATGATTACCGCCTACATTTACATCAAATATATATTCGTTATAACCAAAACGTTCGTGAGTGCGTATTTGACGTACCGAAAAGGCTTTTTTCGGAACGTTAACATTTTTATGTGATTGTACGAGCGCTGCTAATTCTATGAGGTCACGATCCTCTATATTGTAATTGCGTTTTTCTTTATATAATGTTTTTGTTTTCTTAACCATTTCCGCCAATTTATTTATATGTTTGCTTTTATTATCCCTCGCAACAACCATTTGTGCAATCGTCTTAATATTTTGTTCTCGTTTTTCTTTATCGCGTTCATTAAATAATTTCCTCACCAAGTTGATTGTTCTTTGTGTGGCGACAGCGTCGAGACCTTTCTGTCTTTTATTCCCTTCACTTCCCTCTTCCTCCTCATCTCTTTGTCTTTTCTCACCACCCTTCGCCGCCATTGAATACAGCAACAATTTGTCACTTTTATGTCGTCTTCGTCTTCTTGCTGTTCTCCATCTATAAAATCCATCGTGATATTATTACTTTCGCGAATCTGTACCATATTACAATTAAATGTGACCCACGGTGTGTCTTCACCGCCTTTAAAACACTTTTGCCCCATTTCACTTGCACGTGTTGAACAAGCAACAGTCGAATCAAGAATGAGCAGAAAATTTGAGATACATATTTCCGTACATATAGTAAATAATGAAAGCAAAGGTGATGACGATCTTTATAAAATAGGCTACGAGGTGTGCGATAATGACGAAGATATTATTTTTACACCTACCATATTTGTGGAGGCGTTTGCTTGTTTTGCCAAGGATGAAGATCTGATATATAAGGTGGATCCCGAGACGTTACGTCACAGATTAGAATTTTATCAATCCGAATCGGCGGTACCACCAGACGTTGTTACTAAAATTGAAAATATAATCAAATATATTGAACGACACTACGACGACGACTATATCGGTGTAACTATTGTATATGCAGAAGAATGAGCGGTCGTTTTGTGACAAACATGCGGCAAAGAAGATATCAACAATCGCAAAGTATACGTAAATCAAAACAATGTATTAGCGATACGTTGAAACTAAAACGTTGTCGTAAACGCACGGCACACACGCCAAAATGTTGGATACATTTAGCAAAACAAGATAATCTACGAATTAAACCTTCGCAAATTCACAATGCGGGAAAGGGGTTATACAGTTGGAAAAATACCATACCCGCCACACGAATAATCTCAAAATACACAGGTCGAAAACGCACGCGTGAACAAATTGATCGCAAATATGGTAATAATACGGCAAAATATACCATATGTAATAGAAAAGGAATGTGTGTCGATGCAAATCATACAACGGATGCCGCGGCTAGATTTGCAAATGATGCAAGAAATACGAAATTTCATTATAATAGCAACATGAAAGGTAATCAAATGTTTCGCTTAAAAGCAACACGTCGTATTCCTCCCCATTCGGAAATTTTTGTTAACTACGGTGATGAATATTGGTTATAAAAAACACACGCAAGCCTTATAGACAGTTCATATTCTATTAACATGCAGCAAAGTTGGGCTGCCGACAATTTGGGAATTAACCCAAGGTTGAGAGCAAGAAGACAAGCAAGAAGAACACAACGAGGGGGTTACACAAACCCTGGTGAATTTAAAATAATGAGGAAACAACGAGGTGGTACAGCGACGGCAAATCCTGGTGATATATTACAACAAGCGGTTGCAAATGCCGTGATGGGTGGGAAAAGATATGCTGCGAGACAGGCAAAAAGAGCTAAAAGACATTTCAACCTGCAAAAACGGCAAGAAAAAAGTGCACGTATGCGTCGTAAAATTCAAGAAGGGGGTGGAATAGGTAGAAAAAATCGTAACTTACGACAACCTGTAAATCATATGCCTGTAGTCTATCAATATCATCAATAAAAATTTACACACACCTTTTATTTGCTTCTTTATTTTATCGTCTCCTTGTTTATCACCGATGCATATAACGACGTGTTTTATTTTCTGTTCACCGATGCGTTATACGACGTGTTCTACAATATATATATATCACAGTTCTCTTCAGCATTCAACCCTGTTCGTTTTAACCTTTTTTACCCAACTGGTTGCCGCTACTAAACATTGAAGCCGTCACACTCCGTATTTATTAAAAGTTTGATAAACATCATTTCCTATCACATTCTGTCAATCATTTTTAAACTTTACACGTTTATACGTGAATAAATGCAAACTGCAAATATTCATTTTAAAAGTCGAAAAAAATAGATTGTATGACAAAAATCACATATTTTTTTATTTAAATTTCGTACTACGCCATAATAGATGTTGCTGTAATGACAACATCCTCGGCACTAATAAGATACATAAACTACACTAACTTATATACGTAAATATCCATGTCCATATAAGTCCATGTTCATTTTCCCAGTTTCTTTTCTAACATAATTTTAAATTTACATATTTGACGAGCGCCTCGTAAATCACGATAACAAAAATCATCTCTATCACATTCCTTATAATGTTGTAATGCTTTAATATATGGTTTCATAAATTGTGCTTCATTTACCGTTTTTTTCCCGCCAAACCCTATCGGGGTATTTGAACAGGCTGTTTCTGCGTAATGTAAACCCGAACATTCGCACATAATCCACAGACGCATCAATATCAACACGATGGGTCTTTTCGCTGTAGCCAGCGCCGATAAATAAATGCGTTGTTTCGAGAACATCTCACGTACCGCCGAAGGGCTAAAACGCTCTTGAAATTGAATAACACCGCAAAGTTTATGAAAACTCCTGCGTCTCATAGTCGTGCCATCTCTTATATCGTATATCTTTGTATTATCGGGTATAACAACATAACGATAATAGAGCATTTCACCTTTTTCCAACATTTTTTTCAAAGCTTCTACTGCTCTAATTTCAAGCGAAAACGTTTCAAAATAGTGTGTTTTAGTGGATGACGCCATCACATAACAATTGCTAAAACAAGCTGTTCGTTTTGTTTTATCGTAATTTTGGCAAACTTTAAAAAATGAATGAAATCCTTACAATGTCGTTCTTTTAAACGACACACATTAAACAACGTTGCAAATCGAAGCAAAAAATATGGTGACCATATAAGGGCATACCCTATTATCTTCGAATTATATTTTAAAACGTACACATTTTCAAATGATAACAATTGATAAAATAATTGTTTTAAATCATACATATTTTTTTACATAAGTATTCATAAAAAAGTCGACATAAGCACACGGTTCTTCTAACTCGCCATCAATGACACCGTAATAAGCTTTGGCGTTTAAATTATCAAAATCCGCATCTAATATATGCGAATAAATGGGTAATCCAAGATGATTATACCCGTCACACGTTAACTCCTTATATTCGGGACATGGGTGATCTTCAACAGCTTGATCTAATAGCGTTAGAAAATCTGCAAGATACCTATTACATTTTTTACATACTAATATATGCGCAAGATAATTACGAATAAACGTACCCTTCTTCATTATTTTAGTATATATTACGGTGACTGTCTTTTCACTATATTTCACTTCTTTAACATAGTAACTCAGCCGGTCGTCTTGTTTTTCCAACGCACATAGCATTTCGCCAGTATTACAATACAGTCCTGTTTCAAACATGCGCATAATGCTTTTTAAACCCACATACAGATGTGTAGCGGCAAACACTTGGGTTTCTGCGTTTGAATTCTCGATACATTTCCCCGAACCGACGTGGAAAAAATGTTCATCACAATAATACTTTTGAGATATCGTTAGGGATTGACAACGAACCAATTGGGTAGATGAACGTACTAGAACTTCACGACAGCAAAACTCATACGGTTTTAGGACAAAAAATCCGTCATCATTAACATACAATCTTGAAACCCATTCCACGGGTATACGATAAAATTCTTTCCCGCTTTCGCCATCAATACCGACCGAAGCATGTGTGGGATTTTTTTTCCATACCCTCTTGGGCGTGGCTGGGTTGTCACTTTCTACTGTGTCTTCCTCGTCAGTTTCATCATCTATGGCGATGAAGTCGCGTACCGTATCAAAACCGCCTTTTAGCCAAAAATCCTTTTCTCTTACATAATCAAGTACTCTTCGTTCGTGATTATCCATCGGCGGTTTATACGCTCGTAAATATGAACATGTCGAATACAAACGCCATAATTCAGGATTAAAAGGTTGTTTTTGCAAAAGATACGATAATCCGCGAAGTATAGACATCCTTACAACAACGTGTAGATAAAATGAGCAAACATTTTTACTTCGTGTTTTGAACAATGAAAATGGTTACCCAGGTGATAGGGACAACATTCTTGCGTCTGCCCAAATATGGTCAACAGATCTATATACTTTGGACATGACAATATTTCAAGATTAATACAGCGAACACCCATATTATTTAATAAAGTACGTTCAATATCACCACCCTTATACGCAACTAAATCAGCATGACGCATAAATTCATCGGTTAAAAATGTCATCGATTCTTTAAATGTATAAAAATCATCCGTTAAACGTTTACGTACAACGGGTAAGCCGTGAATTCTCTTTATTTGATAATCAATCGTATAGTTGGATTCGTTAAACGGTACAAACGGCATAAACACTTGAAACGATGAACACTCGCCTGTTTTTACTCTATAAACCGAGATTTCTCGAATAAATGTTTTTTTCTTATTATTATATGCTTCACAGTCAATCACGTGCGTAATACGAGACACTATTTCTTTTTTGTTTTCCTCAACCATACCCCTTTCCTCGTACGACAATTGATTATGCTTCCTTTGAAATAAACCCTCCATACTCGTATAGACTCGACAAACAACTAACACACACACACCTTGCGTTCACATATAATTTTTTATTAAATGTTCACATTGTAAAGCTACAAAATGTAAATTTGTCTTTCTACAAATACAACAGTTATTTATTGAAACACACAAACATCCTGTACGATCTAACCAGTACATATTTTTTAACATTTTCTTCAATACATCATGCAATGTATGTACAAAACAAGGTGCTACTACAGTATCATATATCCGTGCTATATCTTCCCTAAGTTTATGAATATGTTTTTCATAATCCAAACCTGGATGGAATAACATATGGTCTCTAATATAGTTTAGAATTCTCTCTACAATCATCTTATAGGTATTATTTAAAAAATTATTCACTACAACAGCTTCGGTACAATTTTGAACACCGAAACTCTGCATAGCCATCGTCTCATACATAATATGTCCGTGACTATTTATAGTCGGTAAATATTTTATCTCGTACGTCATATGGATATGTGCAAGACCGTCCAATGTTCTAAATGTCATACGATACATATAACCATGATATGTATTATAGATCTCTGTTATATATATCCAATATTTAACATTACAATATAATTGTTCATAGGCTGTTACAGATAAGTGATTGCTTGTCATTGCACCGTTTTTAAATTCCAACTTTTCCAAATAATGATATAATTTCCAACCATATTCATCTCGGGGAGGTAAAGTACACCGCATCACTAACTAATAGTCCCGCGTCTTTAAAGTACAATTTTTTACACCGAATTATATCGCGACTATTGAACAATCCACAATGACAGACCTGATCGTTTCGTGAACACCCGCAATTCGTAATTGCCCAATCTTGTACGCGAGAAACCAATTTCTGGTGATATAGCATAATCTGTGTCAAACGCTTAGATATACACAAACCGTGATCCCTTTCAAACTCTGCACACACCGTTCAATAGTCTGTATTTTGATTTTCGTTTATATACGTAATCAAAGTATCTACCGCACCCGATACCATATCCTTTGCTTCGCTAACTGTTAATTGTTCTTGTCCCGTATAATCAATATAATAACCGGTGCTGTTAAAAGTCACCGAGGGTAGATATAAAGGGATAACATTATACTCGAGAGGGCGAGTCTTGAAGAATAATTCAGGATAGATACGATATGTAATTTCCAATTCGGCATAAATTCCAAACAACCAATGTACGACACCAATAGTCATATAGCGATCACCGTTTTCACATTTAGTCACCGCTATAAGATAAATATAAAAACTGGGTATGGTTCGTATAACACCGTCTATAATCATACTAGGCCACAAACGACCGCCTGCTAACTGTATATGCTGCTCTCGACCAATTCGTAAATAGAAATCAAAAAACTTATAATCCGCAGCTATCGTGCGCAAAATGGCAAGAGGTTCGTCTTCAAGAACCGTATCACAGGGTAATTGAACGGTAACAATCTCGTCTCTCTCGTTCGAACTGGAAAACAAAAAAACAAAATACTGTTATTTTTGTAAAACAGCTTTACCCCTGTGATCCAATTCAAAAAGCAGATTTGAATTACGCTTATAATATCCCACTTGTTGTCTTATTAAACATTCGCTAACTATTATACCGTGACACTGTCTATCAATATCTCTACAAATTTGTTGTATACTACACTTGCTAGCATCCTTATAAAATTGTTGCACAGCTCTGTAGCATTCCTCATGGAATATACCGCATAAACCACCATAGTAACCAGGAAAACAAAAACATATATCATAACAACCCGGTCTGTCGGTAGAATTATATTTCAATTCCATTACACATTCTCGTATCCTACATCGATGATTCATATATACATCTCTCATATAACAATGCTCACCATCCGGAGACGATGTAACATAAGCACCCACATTGCAAAAAATATAACCCGCATAATAAATATCGACACCCTCTTTATTGCAATTTTTTAATTGATGAAATAATGTATGACAAAACCGATCGTACCTCGACATATTCATCTTTGCAGCTGTAATATGTATGAGTCAACACTGTATCTATGTCTTTTATAGATATATCTGAATAATGAATTATGATTATATATAATAAAAACACTAACAACAGCAATGCCAACATCAATTTACTGCTAAAATTCATCTTGCTCTCATAGATATATATAAAACTATTTAAAACCACTTTTATAAGATGCTTCATCGTAAAAATATAACCCTTAACTAACCACATACATATATGGTCATACATATATATATATATATCTTTTTTCCCTTTTTACAAACACATGTGTTGGCCATCGCAACGAATTAAAAACACATATAAACAGTTAATATTCCCACGACCCTATATGGTCATAGAACTTTCCTTTCACATTTACTGTTGCCGGGTGTACATAAACACATGTAAACATCTATGTATTGTTCTAAAAGTCCTATGACCCAATATGGTCACGCAGGTTATACGTTAAACCTTACAATATATCATTTTGTAAAACATTTTCCTACTACTACTCGTACGCGCAACAACAAAAATAAAACTCGAAATGGATCCAAAATTTACCAAATTTCTCGAGCTATCTGGATTGGCTATTTCGGAAAGCACAAATCTAACGCCTATATTAGCAGACTACTGGAATTTCACGACATTCGCAGCACAGTATCCTCAGAATATCGTCGAATTGAATTTTATCAAGTGGCATTTACATGGCAGGCAGACAACGATAACCACCTCTTCTCCTGCTTTACAATTTCCAACACCGCAACCGCAGCAAATAAATACACCAATCACACCTTTGCCTTTAAACCCGACGATAAACTACCCTTCACCACAACCTCAGCAACAGATATCCACTCCTTCGATAAACCACCCTTCACCACAACCTCAGCAACAGATATCCACTCCTTCATCATCACCATTAAACATGCCTCCTACCTCACCCGCCGCCGCCGCTGCTAACATTTTAACACCCGAATACACGCCTTTGCCGGAGAAACTTCAAAAGCTAAAAAAACACGTGAATACTGTGGAAGGACAATTTCACAATTTCAGCTTTCAAAAACAAGAAGAACCCGAAAACAAAACCGTAATTATCGATGAGAACTCGGGTACAGAAAACAACACTGGCGAGCAGTCATCATTCCCCGTACTGAATACCTTCGACATTGACACTATCATTGGTACAGAAAATATACCCATGGTTTACACATCGCCACCTAAACATCGGGGAAAAGATATCGCTGTCGCACGAAAGAAATTCTACGAAGACGAAGAAAATAAAACCGAGCAGGAAAAAAAAAACCCACAGCTAGAAAGCGTAAACGCGAATCCGGTCGTCCCACCACCGATCAACAACTCGTACGAATCGACGAAGATTACAACGACCTGCAATCTTTACAGTTGACACGACGTCAACTCACGCTACCGGACACAAAGGGAAAATGTAAGAAATCCAAAAAAATCCTTACAAAAATCCCCGAAGACATTGTGGTCAACACAATGCGGGAATTTCAATCCTACGATTTGTTCGGTGAGACGCGTGAACAGGCCTTAAAGATTATTCAAGACAAACGAGAACTCTTGGAAAAAATAAACAGCGCAGAATATGTACTATATACATTGCTAAAAAAACAAAATAATAGTGACTCTAGCTGCTGACAATCTATTTTACAATGACAATATTAAATAAAAAATATAAATTTGTAACCTTTTTTTGTAAATACTTAATAATTAAAATCAACTTTTTATAAACTATGATTTTTTTGCATTGTTATACACGAAAACGTTACTGACATTTTTTAAAAACCTAAAAAATGTCAATACAATATGTTGTTAATACAATATGTTAATATATTAATATATAAATACCCATATTTATTAACAGCTTTTTAAGAAACATCGAAAAACACCGACATTCGTAGTGGAAACATTAAAAACACACGCGCGAAGTGGAAACACACGGGAAAACACCGATGACGTCACGCGACGCACTTTGAAAAACGGCGGCAAATTCGAACGAACGCCACTTCGGTCAACCGAGGGCTTTGGGTTCGGAGCTCCCCGACGCATGCGCAATAGCGCACGCACACACGACGGCTGTCAATCACGCACACGTGTCACAACCTTTCTCCAAAAATGGGAACGCCCCCTTCAGATTTTCCCCCCCGTCCGTACAGTCAGCGGCGACGACCATTGACGCCCGTGTTACTTTCTCTTTCCATTCAAAGCTCCAGTTAAATCAAGTAGGTTCACACACCCCCTTTTTTTTTAGTACACACTTTACTATTACTACTATATTATATTATTGAAAAAATACTATGAAACTGCTATATGCGTGAGATTTACTAAACGTGGCGTGAGAGCGTGAGAGTGAAGCGAATTGCGTGAGACTCACGCCGAATGCGTGAGAGTTGAGAGGTCTGATAAGCTTACTCATGTTCCGGTACCATCATTTGCAAAACTTGCCACATTCATTTACGAATTTTTTTATAGCAAATAGCGAAATTCACCAATAGTAATACAGTACACGAAACTAGTACTTGCGAGAGTACTTGTCAAAACTTCAAATGCATTACCATCAAATTAATTATACTAATAATTAAGCACTCACTCTCAGTAAAAGGAGTGGATGTACGGAATATTTAATCTTGATGTTACCTTGACAAAAATAACATCACTACCAATCATTAAAAAAAATTGAAAATACATTTTATGAACAATACGTCAATAGTCAATACAATCTAGTAAACTTATATTTTAAACAAAGAAGTCAAATTCATATTCATGTAATTAACAGATTATGTCTTTATAGCTCTCCAACTTTTCCCCTTATTATGTATTTTATTCTTACCAGTGAAAGCAATATTAATGTATTAATCTTCATATTCTTGTAAATACTTTTAGCACTGATTGACACAATATAAAACTTTGCAACGGACATTAAACTAGGACCTTACCTTAGGGAGTGGTCATTATTTATGGGGAGGGGGGGGCAAACGAAGTTTTACCCTTATAAATAGGGGGGGTCAAAAAAGTTTTAACACAGAGAAAGGGGGGGGTCATAAAAGTTTTTTATTTCTATAATCACAAATAGCGAAAAAGAAGACTCTGAAAATGCTATTTCCAACGATCTAGAGACTCAAAATGTTCAAAATTTCCCTGCTCGGCGCCAACCATGGTGGCGCCGAGCGACCGTTGAGCCCACTAAGTTTAACAAGCTTTCTACCTCCTGAGTGACCTAGTTGTGGTATTTACATAAACATACCATGCAAGTACACTTAACTGATCAGATTCGGTCTATCAACGCACAATGTAACGCTGTATATCCAAAAATCTGTTTCAGAAAATGCTCAGAGGAAAATGCTCACATTTCAATTCTAGGGGTGGAAAAATAAAAAAATTTTCTGGGGGAGAATACCCCCAGACCCCCCTACTAGTACATACGATACCACACCAAACTTTTTGTCACCAACAACCATCTGTCATCTCTCCACACTCAATATAGTATAGTCCCTTTTTGTAGATGCCCACCCCCCAGACAAGTTCTTAAAAAAAACCTGTGTTCAAATCATTTCGCTGTATGAAGACGGGTCATGGGTTAGGGTTATGGTAGGACAAATGTTGCATTGCAAAGTAGTAACACATAATATATATTTTTAATCATATATGGTTGAATCATATTCACCAGGGTAAAACATCATGAGCTAGATTAAACAGATTGTCCTAATATCTAACTTTACCTGCAACGCACACCTGTTTCATTGCTGTTAATTTTTCAATCCACACTGGGGGGGGGTGTCAGAAAAGTTTCTACTTTTATGAGGGGGGAGGCACAAAAAGTTTGCCTTCAGTCTGGAGGGGGGTCAAAAAAGTTTTCAATCCTTATTTTCCCCATTTCCCAACCCCCCCTCCCCATAAATAATGACCACTCCCTTAAAAGCCTATGAAGGTTTCTTTAGACTCCTAGCCCTATTTATAGTTGTAGCTTTAATACTTTTATGTAAATAATTGCCATAATGATTGGGCGAAATAAATAAATAATACCTCTTCTAGGATAAAACAATCGTCACTCTGTAGAAAGCCGCCATCTTTGTTTATGGGCCTGTTCGCAGGCATACAGCCCTAATTAGTCGACCTGAGTGTTTAACGCACACACAAACTCGATAGCATAGTATCTAGTGCTCCGCGCAGATACAAAAAACGGGAGCTTTATATTTATTTTAAAATGGAAAGTTTATGTGATATGTTTGCAGCAATGAATACTTCTCAGGAGGTGCCAAATGACGTGGTTGTGAATGAAGTATCCGTTTCGAGGGATTTGAATGTTTCCTTTGAAGTAAAGAATGTTTATGATTTGATGAATGCTGTGTTTTTCGAAGCGGTTGTTTGTGAAATTCAGAGACTATTGAAGGAGAAATGTTCCAGCTGTGAAGTCGATCATCCGGGTCAGAGGAGACACAACTGTATTATGTTGTCAGATGAGGAGGGATGGTTACTGCATGGTTTGAAAGCAGTGGAGCGTGTGATTGAGCGTAGAATTTTGAGGAAACAGTTTCTTGAAGCTATTCGAGTGATGAGATTGGAATATTACGGCCATGCAACAGAACATTATGCGAACTTAAAAAAAGATTGTGAAGTAACACTTGATTTTTTGGGGGATTTGAGAGGAAGTTTTTCTGTTCATCAACCCATTTTGAACTACCTAATGTATTGGAGCGAAGAACAACATTGTGCATAAGACACGTTTAGTAAAAAACATTAATTTATTTACAAAGTTGTAAAAGATTTTTTAACAGAGATGTTTTGAAAAACTACTGTTTTTTTGAGAACAAAGATTTTACAATTTACTGAGTTGTTCTCGTAGTTTATTTTCTACATGTTTCTGGTATGCTTTTTAAGATACGTAAAGTGAAAGTCAACCTTAGCATTTCCGTGGCTCATGAAATCACGTTGAAAAAAGGACCTGCCATTTATCCTGTTTGTCGTGTTGAATGCAAGAGTTTCATCGTCCCCGCAGGTAATCCCTCCCTGAGAAAAGATAACCTTTTCAATGGATTGGTGCCGAAAACACTTGTCTTTGGATTGGTTGAAAGCGAAGTGTTTAACAGTGCTTTGAAAAAGAATCCGTACAATTTTCAATATTTCAATGTGTCTGCCATTGGAATAACCGTCAACGGAGAAAAAATGCCATTTAAACCCTTGCAGCTTTCCTGTGGTGCAGCACCTAAATACATCGAAGCATTCAGCACCCTCTTTTCTGGTACAGGGAAATGTACTACAACACAGGAAATGATATATCCCGAATTTCGCAAAGGTTACGCTGTGTATGCCTTTTACCCGACACTGGACATGTGTGGAGCCTCTCCTCATTTTAATGTGGTGCAGAAAGGAAATTTAGCCATTGATATCCAGTTCTGCATAGCACCTGCAAATGCAGTGAGCTCGTATGTTATGAAGAGTTAGAGAATACCATTCACATCAACTCCGAAAGAAACATTGACTACGATTACTCTGGATGAATACTGCTCAGATAACCCATGCCTTGGAACAAGATCCTGTAACAAGCAAGAAGTTTTGCAGCATGTTCCCTAGTGATAAGCTGCCTTAGATGATAGACAGATATCCATGTGGATTTGTTGCGAACACTGATACGAGCAGTGAACCTGGAACCCATTGGGTCGCCTTCTACTTTCCATCGGAAGAGAAAGGAGAATTCTTTGACAGTTACGGACACGCACCCGAGTACTATAGGAAATCGTTTGGAGACTTTTTCAAGTCTCGCGCATGGGATTTTAATAGACATAAATTGCAAAGTGCTTGGTCGGATGTATGTGGCCAGTATTGTATATTTTATCTTAGCCATAGAGCAAGAGGTCAGAGCATGAGTAATATCATAAATTTATTTAACAATGATGTGATTTTAAATGATACAAAAGTATCCCAGTTTGTTAAGAGAATTTTACGGTATTGTTAAAACATTCCAATGTTAACCTTAACCAGTTCAGTAAAAAGATGTTTTCAATAAAATTGCTGTAAAAAACTGTACTGTGGGTTTTTTTATTCTGCGCATGCGCACAAATCGCTGACCCACATGCGAACCGTACATAAAAATACCGCCCCAAAGAACTGACACCAATACAAAATTGGTTTTAAAACATTTTTATTATTACATGCAAACAGTTACAACATTTTTTAATAAGGAAGCCATTGTTTTGGTCTTGCCACCTGTCTTCTGAGTAAAGCACAGAGATATTTCGAAGGACTTGCACATGGTGATGTTGGTGGCGGTGGTCTCGGTGACGGTGTCTTAACAACAGCCTCTTCCGCGCCAGACGGACTGCCCATTTGAACCTGATTCCATCTTTCCGTGTTTCTTGCAATATCTTTGTGTACATTAATCTTTGACAGTCCGCAAAAGAATTCCTGCGCTCCCTTTGGATTGTTTAGGGAACATCTGCCTGGCAAGGGTGGAAACACCAAGCGAGTCACGTGGGCTTCTAAACACGACGAGAACATGACTGTTCAAACTAATCGTTCGAGAATGTTCGCCCGGTGGGAATAAATTCTTGGTAAGGTACAGCACGGACATGCCAAGGTGATGGGAATTACGTGTAAACAAATCCAAGACACGTGGGTCATTGGAACATTGAGACATTAAATCATTGAGCACGACTAATGAGTTCCCATGTCCGTGGGTCATCTCGCATAAATTATCAGGAAATCCTTCTACCAGAGTTAAATTGGGCATTGATTGCAACATTTCTTCGAATTCCTTCTGATATATGCCATAACAGTATATTATTTTAGTCGTCATGGGATTAAATAGTTCCTCTGCATGATGTAACATGGAATGAACCAAATAAGATTTCCCACGCTGACTCTGCCCACATATATAAAAATTTGCTGGCGTTTTAAATCTCACGTCCATGATGTTCACGTGCACAACACGCACTGCATTGTGATTTGACGTGTTCGTTCATTTTATGACAAAATCCAAGAAATCATTCTACAGAAAATGCTCTTTTCTTCAATTCTATATGCACTAAGGTCAAAACTTTTTAAAGGGGCTGCAACCAAACGAACAGCCCTCTGCATTGTATCTTCAGAGGCATGCATGAAATAAACTAATGTCAGATAGGCTATGGCCCGGCCAAAATTAGTCACATCGATCGTGTTAAAAACAACATGCATTTCACTAGGATTAACGTTCACTACCATTTGATTGTACAACGCCTTGTGGCCTTCAAGCAAATAATTGACATGATGAGATAATGTTCTCATGTCAATATAAACGCCCTGTGTCTGCAATTCGTCTAGTAGCACTTCCATTGCAACAAAATAACAAATGAATACAACATGTAAACCATTTATTTATATTCAACAAACAATTTTTATCTACTGTACAGTAGTCAACAGATACTAGATCTCATCTGAACGATCCTACATTAAGCTATGACTAGCTCCACCGCATTAATTCTAGGTTTCTTACCTACATTTTATAGAATAACTTTAAAAATCACATGTGAATAAACGTTTTCGTGGTACATAGCAAGGTTTACTGTTAAAATATGATGTCCAAAATGTTAGTCTTTATACTGTTCATGTTCGTAAAGTCATTGTTCATGTACTGCTGTGTTGAGTTCAAAAGTCTCCGTGTTCTGGATTGCTCGAGTCTGGGTATTTCTACCTTTCCCCGCCATGCAAGATGGGTTGAAGTCCTATTTTGAAAAAAAAAAACAAAAAAAAAAATCACATGTGTAAACCTTACTGCAATCATGATGGACTTCCCCAACATCCAACACATAAATCTATGGTATAATCCCCTCGAATGTACTGAACCGTTACGTGCAGGGGTAGCCATTTTTCCATCAATTCCCTCTCCTCAGATTCCCTCGACGATGAAGTAAACTACTCGCAAGACCAGCGCATTTTAACGCCTTGCTATAAACGACAATATCTTTCTGCCATTAATGTTCTGTTATCAATAACAATTTAATTTAGGGTGTGTCCCACAGAGTTTGCAATAACTTCCTGTTGAGTTAATGAGTATAATGACATATCTGAAATGATGACTGTTTAAAAATACTTTGCATACAAAATGTTCTATTGTAGAGGAGACATGAAACTTACAAAGTGGAAACAGTATCTATGTTTTAATGACCTCTGCTTTAAGTGATTATGTTCTGATAAACACTTGTGTGTTTGACAAGAAAATCCAACCAGCTTATAATATATTATCTGACATAAAGTTTATACAAATGTCTACATGCCCTTGAAACAATTTGTAATATTAATACGAAATACTTTTAATTCTATACTGTTCATTTTGGTATGCCTATACATCCAAAATAAGATCCATTCCGTTTAAAACACACTAAAATGTACAGTCCTGTTAATATCATATATGCAGCACATGTTAAGAGCTTCAGTGTATATTAGTATGTACTTGTGGTAAAAAAAAAGTAATGAGAGTAATGTTATAGTCCAATAATGAGATACGAAGGGGCCCGGGCGGCGGTTGCGGTCCGGGGTTTGGGGCGGGTCGGTGGCAAGGTTCTGGCAGGGCTAAGGGTTCCGGGTGGGATTGTGGTCAAGTTCTGGGGTAATGCTACATTTGGGGTTAAGGTCCTGACCACGGTTGCAGTTGTGGTCCGGAATGGGGTTCTGGTCGGTGGCAAGGTTCCGGTATGGGTAATGGTTCCTGGTGGGATTGCAGTCGAGTTCCGGGGTACTACTGCAATTGGGGTTAAGGTCCCAACCGGGGTATAGGTCCTGCGTGCAGTTCGGGTACTGTTGTGGTCAGGGTTTGGGACGGGGTCACCAGCATGGTTTTGGTAGGGGTAGGAGTTCCGGGTGGGACAGTGGTCGAGTTCCGGGGTAATGTTGCTACTGGGGTTAAGGTCCTGCCTGGGGTATAGGTAGGTGCAGTCTGTGGTACTGTTGTCAGGGTTGGGGTCTGGGTAGGGGTTCTGGGTAGGGTTAAAATTATAATTTTGGTCGGCACAGGGGTTAACGTCCAGGGTGAAATTAATGTTCTGGCGGGTGCCGGGACCAGGGTTCCGGTAGGGGTTGAGATTGAGGGGTGGGTTGGGGTCCAATACGGGGTTATGGCTGTGAATTTGTTTGTAAATCCAGGTGTTGACATCACTTTTAGCATACCTAATTGAAAAGAAAGTCAAACTGTATAACTATAAGTCACAACAAATGCCAACTTGTGCAAATTCTAACATAAAGGAAATAAACTTACAGTCACTCTCGACGTCTATACCCACATCCCAAACGGTCCGGCAATCAAGCTTTGGGTTGTCACGAAGATCAATGTACTGTAAATTAGGAAACCCCTCTAAAAGTTTCAACACATTAAGCACGGCAAAATGGTTGTGCCTAAAGTCTATTTCCTCAACCCATCATTTTTTCCCCGTTTTCCAGAAGCCCTTGACGGTCTGTAACTGTAAACCACTACAGTCCAGAAGCTTCACGATTTGTCTCTCAAGACAGTCCTCTGTGTTCGAATGCATGAGCAACATTAAAATAAATACCAAAGGCAAAGAAAACATTTTCCAAAAGTTACCCTAGCCTAGCTCAGTTTGCCTTGAAGTTTATCTGTTGAAGTGTTTGCTGTTTTATACGATTGATATTTAATAGCTAAATCATAATGAAACGTTAATTTTCCTGTAACCATATAAACAACTCGATAGCTATGCATATGTTTTAAAAACAATGTGCATCTCATTACACCTTGCTCAAACAAATATTTGATATAATGGATATTGTTCTCATGTCAACATCATTTTCCCGAAAGCCTATTGCATGTGTAAATGAACACACTGTGTAAAACGTTTCAGATATATATTTCATAAATATGATAATACAAAGCTCTTAAATAATTATACGTTAAATGTTTATATACGTTTCAGTTCTGTTGACCATCTGGATAATAACGACTGTAAAACATTGGTACGAAAGGTGCCATGGTGTCAGGCTGTTTCTGCAACTCCTCGGGACCCCATACAAAATAATCACACCGGTTTTCGTTGCAGCAATAGAAGAATTTTTTACCCGTATTGGGACCTTGTTTCTTGACTTGCTTTATGGCACACAGTTCGTTGTGATAGCAGTTGTGTTTCTCGACTTCTTTCTCGTCTGCCCACATCCATAAGGAGCAAGGATTCTCACGACTTGCACACGTAAAATATGGCCGACCATAAGACTTTTTCAGCATGTTTTTAACTACACAAAACTTCGCGGGCTTTCGGTGACTCTCACATATTGGCTGCCTCAAACCTGTGGCTCTCCAAGCTGCCAAAGCTGTTTGGAACAGATAACCATCCTCTTCAGAACATAGAAATCCACAGCTTGGCTTCTGTCCACAGAACCAAAAGGAACCCTTGTCTGTAGTTGAATTGGAACACTCCATCGCTATAACTTCAAAATAAACACTTTACTTTTTTTCCTGCCTTTTATACAAAAACTCAACCCATCACATCATATGTGTTATGCGACAAATGTTATGGAACAAGCGCTATGTGACAAATGTCATGTATCTTGTCTTTTCTGTAAAACTGTCTTTTTTTTTGGCTATTTGTGTGCTATTTGGTGTAAATAATTTTATATATCCTTTTTTTACACATGTGAGCCCCCTTGATAAGCATGGCTTTTGGGGCAAACGTTTAAATAAAGTTTATATTAAAAAAAATTTCTTGTTTATTTTTTTTTTCTTGTTTAAATACTTTATTGGGTAAATATAATAATTATTTACAAAAGACGTACTAATACTATGCATGCGAAGAACGAATATTACCCAAATGGAAGAGGTGCGAACTGAAAGTAAATAATTTGCGCTATCCATGCAAGGCACCTTTCCAACAGAATACATGTAAATATAGTTTACTATGTAAATACTAATAACAAGTTTATACAACAAGACAATTAACTCCTATGACAGGAACAGTCACGTGACATAGACCAAGTACATAACAAGTTTACATCGAATACGGTCGATACTAACATAGAATAATAATTAAAGAGGTAGTATTTAAATGTTTTGACACTAGAAAATGTATTTGGTGGAGCTACTTTACAAACACTGTTCCATAATTTCACGATCCGGTTGAAATATGAGTTCTGATATGTTGTGGTTTTACACAATGGAGTCTTGAGCAACAGGTTGGGATTACGACATAGACGGGAGTGGTTATGGATTACAAACGAGACATAGTCATGAACATTGAGATCGGAAATACCATAAAGAGCCTTGTAGAAGAACATTAGATCTTTTATCTCTCTATCATAGCACAAAGGTTGTAAGTTCAGATCAACGAGACGCTCATTGTAGCTGGAATCACCCTTTCTAGCTTTCAATATCCATCTAGTGGCTCATCTCTGCACACGCTCTATCTTTGTCTTCTGTGAGCAGATGTATGGAGACCAAACTTCACAGGCATAACATAAATTGGATTTTACCAACGAAAGGTACAAAGTACGTCGGACGCTGACGTCAGTCAGGAAAGGGCATGTTCTCTTCAATAGACTGAGCAGCTTGTTGGCTTTAGCTGTGATCTCATGGATATGAGAATCCAATGAAAGCTTTCCAGTCATTGTAACCTCAAGATCTTTCTCTTTTTCAACATGAGTAAGAGTGGTTGAGCCCAGTCGGTATTTGAAGTCCACAGGTTGTTTCTTTCGCGACACAGTCAACACTTTACATTTTAACTCGTTGAACCTCATATTGTTGGTATTGCTCCAGGTGGCTAGGTTTGTCAGGGTTTGTTGTAATTGGCGAGCATCATCTTCGCAAGTAATTTTCCTGAATGTTTTTGTGTCATCAGCGTACAAAGCAGTTTCTGATATATCGGGAATGATGTCGGGTAAATCATTGATGAATAATACAAACAACATTGGACCAAGTATGCTACCTTGTGGTACACCAGATGTTACTGAGGACCAACCTGAAGCAACACCATCAACGACAACTCTTTGGGTCCGACCAGTTAAGTAGTTAGTGAACCAATTTAGCATGTTTGAATGTACACCGAATTGCCTGAGTTTTGCCAAGATTAAACCGTGATCGACAGAGTCAAAAGCTTTGGCAACATCCAAGTAGACAATGTCTGTTTGAATATTACTGTCAAGGTTTTCTCCAATCTTATGTAAAACTTGCAGCAGTTGTGTAGTGCATGATCGATTGAGTAGGAAACCGTGTTGTCCTAAGGAGATAGCGCTAATTACGTGTTCGTATAGTCGCCTAGATACGCAACGTTCCAATAGTTTTACAATGATAGGCAAAAGGGATATCGGTCGGTAGTTCTCCGCTAGTTCTTTCAGATGTTTCTTGTGAACTGGTGTCACGTTCGCTGATTTCCACTCTACCGGAAGTCGTCCAACACGCAAGGATACGTTAAATAATTCACAGATACTAGGCGCAATGTGCCGACCACATTCTTTTAGTAGACGTGCTGGTATCTTGTCAGGGCCACTCGCTTTGGTGATGTCTAAGTTTCTGAGGTAATTTTCCACTTCAGCCACATCAACTGTTAATTCACCCAATCCCGACTCAGTTTCAGACGCCTCACCATCACAATCCCCGATGTCAGTACTGGATGTTGTAAATACTGAGGAGAAGTAAGAATTCAGAAGCTCGGTTTTTTCTGCAGAAGACTTTGCTGTAATGCCGTTGAAGACAATGTCAGAAGTCTGTTTTGATCTGCTATGCAAAATTGCTTTGTGGTAAGTCCAGAAAAGTTTTGGATTAGTTGCAAATGATGTTTCGATTTTCCTTAGATATTCCCTATGCTTCTTTTTAACTAGCGACTTGACGGCGTCACTTAAGCTTCTTAGCTTTTGTTTTCTCGTTTCACACTTGTTTTGGCGGTACTTTTTTAATGCTGAGTATTTCTTTCGAATGAGATGACGAACTTCTTCATCTACCCAAGGAAGAGAGTTGGTATCCTTTATTGTTTTGGTTGGGATGTGGTTAGTTACTGCGTCAAGGAACGACTTTTTCCAGCAAGATCAAAGTTTATCGATATCGTTGGTAGTGTTAACATCAAATGTTATCTGACTCAGCGTATTATTGAGACCTTCAAAATCGGCTTCCTTGAAGTTGTAAATCTGACGTCTGATACTAAAGTCAATAATTTGGTGATCTGTTGGAGTGTTGGGAAATAACATTCCTCAGGACTTCTGATATTGACCTCATCAATGACTTCTGGACAATTACATAAAAGTAGATCGAGTGTGTTCCCAGCTTTATGTGTAGGACTTTGTATGAATTGGGTTAGGAAGTTGTCCCCAACAAGGTCGCAAAAGACATCACCAATCGCTCGTTCTCCTTTGTTAATTGGAGCTGTGCTGTCAGTAGACCAATCTATCGCTGGGAGATTAAAATCACCAACTACAACACAACAACTGGACTCACTGGTGTTTTGGAGGGATGTGTTAAGACGTTGAAGGGGTTCCGTTGTTGAGTCAGGAGATCGACGATAGAAGGTATATAGTAAGACTGACTTTTTGTTGGGTTTAATCAATTCTATCACCACAAATTCAGCATCCTGCTTCTCGAGATCTAAGCGGCGAGTTGCTCTTATGTTCAACTTTGTAGCAACGAGAATACCACCTCCGACTCGTCCAACTCTGTCTTTTCGAAAGATGCAGTAGTCCTGCAAAAGTTCACTGTCCAATACGGTATTATTTAGCCAAGTTTCACACACACAAACCACATCATATATACCAGATTGTACCAGTTGTTGAAATAATGTGATCTTACAAACGTTGGTTTTGCTTTCATCAAGTGCCACAAATGCTTTTAGACTACGTGCATTTAGATATAGTACCTTTAAGCCGTAGTTGGTTTTAGCATGGCTTGAGACTGGACCACGATTTGTAGCCACATCACCAGCAAGCAAGATAAGGAGGAAAACGTGAGACGATTTTCGGTCGTATTGTAGGTTTAATCCATAGCGATAATTCAGCGGGTAGTTAAATTTTCTCTGTTTAAAGTCACGGATAGCAATCCAAATATAACACAGCTTTTGTGGTAAAATTACAAGTTCTGGATTAACAATGACGCCGTTTAAGGTAGATTTGATTTGAATAAAATTAGGTTTCAATTTTGAACACAACCAGAGTCCAGAGAATTGTTAATATTGTTATAAAACACTTAACTCCGTCCTTTATCCTGTTGAAAATATTGTCGCATCGTGATTTCCATGCAAGTCAAATGTATGTAATTCTTTCCATTAATTAGCGCAGATGCACGCGCACCGCTCCATCGTTCAAACTTTCGCGCCGTCGTCAGCATACTAATGACGTATTCCACACGTATCGATCAACCGACCAAATTATATTAATTGTTGACCAAAATGAACAAAACGAACAACAAAAACACGAAATGGGCGATGAAGAAACAACGACAACTTTATACAAACTTTAAAATCCAACGGACGATTGACTTATTAAGCACTGTAGATTGTATTTTCTGAAATATCTTGATTTAGTTAGTCAAAAAATGCGAAAAATCGCAGAGCACTTTCGTGCGTGACCGTATAGGCACAGAATAGGAAGTTTACCAGAAGCGTAACTCGAGCAAATATTTGTCCGCGTTTTTACAAGCGATTCGTCATCAACACGCCATCCTGGCTAGTACAACCGGCACTTTGTACCTACCAAAACATGATAAAAACTTCCGGCTGTACTAGCCAGGATGGCGTGGATTGGCGTGAGCGAGTTAAAATTTTCGTGGACGTCAAACAATAAGGAAAACGACTAGAGTTACGCTTCTGGTATAACTTCCTATTCTGTGGTATAGGTCACGTCACGTATCACGTATCATATTCATGATAATCTCACATGTGAAAATTATCGCTTTTCAATTGCCGCTTTTCTGTAAAAATTATCGCTTTTCAAAGACCGTCCTTTATATAATAAACAGTGCGCTCACTCGTGAGATATCATGTTCAACACTCGAAATAAATCTGGTATTTCCGCGCACCCATGTATTATTCTCTATTTAAATTATGCTGATGCAAGTGTAATGTATTTGGGTGTTTATGGATAACTACTGTTGTGGAAAAATCAATGTGGTCAAGGCATTAAAAAATACTAACCATTATAAGGCACGGATAACACAGTTGCTGTTTTTCGTTTAGTCGTTCGAATGAGCCTAATCTCATTTTTACCATTCAGTGTGAGACATTCAGTAATGATACTGCGTCGTAAGCCATAAATATCAAGGCATCAGCTCTTCTCACTTCCAAATTGCGCGACATAACTTTGCCAGGGTCTAGTCGAAGGAATTTTCCCGATGGCTGGAGACTTGTCTGAATGAAGATTGCTTGTGTGCGAAGATTCTTTATGGTGAAGGAAGCAAAATAAGGCCCTAGAACATAAATAAATAATCAATTATAGATGCATATATTATAAAATTTACGAACTTCACATCTTTGAAATTTTAAATTCGTTTTGATCCACTGTTGTTATGAAACAATCGCAGTTCACATTGCCAACAGAGATTCAAATTGCAACGCAAACGTTTGCTAATTTCACGCCCAAATTTAACCAAAATTTATCCAGTTTGTGCTTGAGCAATATCTATTAGTCCCGAAAATTTTCGCATTAAGAGGGTGTCCATGAAAGAACCATGCAAGTGGTGATAAACGTCAACTCACAGAATTTGCTCAAATTTGGCACATATATAGAGGATATTAAGTATCTGATCTGATAAAAGTTTGAGGTAAAAATATTGCACGGTATCGGAATTATCCACCCCCCATGATTTTGGGTCGTTTTTGGCTCCAAAAATGCCCTTTGCTAAGTAATATTTAGTACATTATAAAATTATAAAAACACACTCAAATGAAATGATATTTCGGCCGCTAAACTAAAAGACACACGGCTTTCAAAATATGTAATTGTTTATGGCATCCACTAGGGCTAGTTGTCATGGCAACACCAAAAATAAGAGACAGTTTTTTCCATTTTTCGTTAAATTTTTTTTTGGACCATTTTGAGAGCAAATATCTCCGTTGAACAACTTGATTGAAGTATAATTGACGCACAGTTATTAAAAGCTGTCCATACACTTGGTTAAACAACAACAAAAATTGGGGGATATTTAATACATTTCTCACGGCCAGGCAAAAAATATACCCTATGTTGAACATTTGCATAATGTTAAAAAAATTCATAACACAGAACAAACTGCTTAACTGTAAAGTCCGTATACAATTACTCATCAGACATGCATATAATGTCATTAAACAACATTGAATTATCTGAAAAAAGAATAATGAGCAATTTTACAAGCAGGAATAGAAGAAAAATTAAATAACATATTAATCTATCGTGCGCATTAACGGAACCGAGTAACAACGATATAAATATAATATTCTTTATAAATGCACTGACTGAAAAATAGATATATAACATGAAAAACGTAAAAATAATACTCACATAGAAGATTTGTTCTGATACTTGAAGCAGTGTGTGGGTAGTTTATATACTACCTAAAGTCCTAATACTACAACAGCCGTTTCGATGTATTTTGAAATATATTATATAATTGCTATATTTACATATCTTTTCCAATGCTTTCCTTCTGCTATTAGACTAATACTGATAATTGTGATTGAAATAAAGGAGAAAGGGTTATCTCAAGGCAAGGAAAATTCTTTTAAAGAGCTGTCATGAACAAATCAACTGAAAAGGCCGCCATCTTGGAAAATATTTTCTCGGTCAGCGGGTTTCCTCACGATAGTTTGGTATATACTTCTTGTGACCCCTATTATTATGTATCAGGGCTGATACCTGACCCCCACCCTAACCCCGCCTCTAACCTCTAACCCCGCGTTATATAATTTAAATATATTAATTACGTGCAACATAATTGTTTTAATTCTTGATTTTTTTATTCTGTTGGTTCTATGTTTTGAAACTGCATCTTAAAGGGGCCCTACAGTCATTTTTTGGTCGAAAAGCCACCTTAAGTATTGTTTACATTTCTTGTTATTGTCTCTACTTGACATGCGCACCACGGCATGCATGCGTCTTCCGGTGTGCGGAAGTACTCATACTCATGGATACTGTATGCATGTAAGATACAGCCAAACGAATCTCCGTGGAGTCCCCTACTTAAGGTGGCTTTTCGACTAAAAAAATGACTGTAGGGCCCCTTTAATGAAAGCTTAATAACTTGGTCAAAAAATTGGGATAAGAACTTTGTATTATGTATATTCTATTTTAAACTAGTGAATGTCAAGAGCCAAAAGTAAATCATGTGATCATCCATTGCAAATACGTTGTTACAATTCCACTTCTTCTCTTACACAGTCAAGCAAAGAATATCGTCTTATCTCTTCTTCAATCATTTCGACTTCCTCGTTTTGTTCTTCTTCGTTATCATCAATTAAGATACCTTAAAAAAAGGATATTGCTGGGGTTCTGATATGACTTCCACCACCTTTTCCGCTGCCTCGCGTTAACCTTCTGCTTTTATGCATGTTTTTGGGGGTTTTTAGTTGTGCTTACAACTTTGGTCGATTCTTATTTTAGAGGTGGTGGTGGTGGGGGACATATCTGAATTTGCGCTGATATCATATAATATGTAATACTATTACATTCAATGATATGTAATTATGCATGTGTTGTTTTTAATTTGTTTGTAATATGTAAGTTTTGTTAATTTTACGCAATTCAGCCAATTCGGCTGCCATGAAAAATCTATTAAACTATCTATCTATCTACCTTTCCTTTGTAGGACACTTAGACAGGAGAAGTAGCTCTTCACTTGCTGCACTGATAACCATTCAGACCTATCAAAAACTTTCTTCTTTCCATTTCTCATACATCTTATTCGAGCTGCCACTTCCTTTGGGTCTGCCTTTATTCCACTTTTCTCCCCATCAATGAATGTTCTCAGGAGTAAATCTTTTATTGGCTTTGAAAAACGTACCTTACCGGTTGACCTTTTCAATGCCCACCCCATTTTAACAGCTACAGGAGATTGATCTGCTTCACCTGTTTCCTCTTTTAACTCGCCTGTAGAGTGTTTATTTGTTTCAGTATGAATACCAACCGTAGTACACTTTGATGCCCACTTTTGCTTTACGATATCGTACGCGCTTTCCGTCTGTAAACGGTACAAGTGTTTACCAACATCGAGATGCCTTTCAAGTGCGCTATTAGAAACAAATACTTTGACACAAGAAACGTCTGGACAATTGAATCCTTTCGATGTATGCTGGGTCGGAACATCATCTTTATCGCGCTTTTCTTGGCACTGCTTCACATTTGTTTTCTTGAGCAAACCCTTATCATTTTCCGGGATAGTGAACGATTCTTGTGATATTAAACCTGTTGCTCCTTGAGTACATGCCATCTGCTTAATATCTGCTTTCTTGATCAACTTTCCTTTGCCAATTTTGTACGCCTTCCACACTTTAATTCCCGATTTCAGAAATTCAAAGTTGTTGAACAGTGTTATTCCTGTCCACTTGTGCTTTGCGATTTGCTGTTTGGTTCTGTCGATACTAACCACCGAAGCTCTGCACCCTTTGACGCCGCCGTAGGAATCAAGAGCTTTCTTCATATCAGATGCAGTGTTGATGTTGTTCCCTTCATTTAAAAAACGGCGTATGTGGCTTTTCGCGCATGCTATTCGTCTGTCACAGATATCTTTTCCAGATTGTGCATCACTGAAGTCGTACCGCCTAATTTCAATCCCAGTTCGTTTGGAAATCCCCGGAATAGAAAGCATTAACGGAGCACAGTGATAACATCCTGCATTATCGGATCTAAGAAACGCTTCGGAGATTTCGGGATAGCTTTCTTTTAAATTTGACAAGACATCTTCGATAATCGATGCCACTGAGAACCAATCTTGCGTGCAATTGTCGAACAAATGGAAAAATGTTTTGACCTATTCTTGCAAAGAAAAAATATTTAAACTCAAATTTTCTCGTGTGTCAAACTGATGAAACTCTGTTGCCAACTAAGCTCTGTGCAAATTGAAAACACAAAAACAGGACATACTTATACCTCAAAATCTTCATCTGGTTTCTTGAATATTGCGGCACAAACATGCCATGGACGACCTTTCTTCCCAAACCATTCGGACTGTGTTTCTCTATAACTTACAGGCAAAAATTTCATTGCCCAGTCCATAATAATTAGCACTTGATTGGGCTTCATTTCTTCAAGAATAATGTTCTTTGCTGTATCCTGGTGTACAGTTCGCAATATGTGTTCTTTCCAAAACTGAATCTTTTGGACTGCGGCATCTAAGTCATGCACTGTCTCCTCTTTGGTTTCTTCACTTTAAAGACAAATCCGTACTCAAACAATCAACTAACCATGATAATTGTAAAAACATGCAAATAATAATTTACAACCCCATGCTTTAAACTATTTCGCCAGTGAAAAATGTTCACGTAAAAGGATACTAACCTCATTGTTACACTCTTTGATGATACAGCAGTTCTTATAGCAGACAATGTGTCTTTTGACATGTCACAGCGATCACATGTCATGTTGTGCTTGTGAAAGCATTTCTTCTTGTATTCCAACGTAGAATCCGATAGAGCATATGTGCGACAATGATCTGCACATTGGTTTTCAAGACTGATATGTATCTTGAAATCTGACTTCAGGTAGTGCCTGATTTGACACAGGCTTTCTTGAGTTTCTTTAACCCACGACGCTGTCATACCTTAGATAAAGAAATAGAATTTGCTGATGTTTCAAGTCTTAAATCTCTTCTGCATCTACCTCTGTTTTCCTACTTCTTTCTTTTGATCACCCCCCCCCCAAAAAAAAAATTTCTTCATTATTGTATATTGGTTTCTTTCTTTGATCCTTCTTGTTTGTGTATCTAACTTTCTGTCTATTGCTTGTTTGTTAATTTTTTATGCGCTTTTTTGTGTATTGGAGTATTTTGAGTTTTCTCTCTTTTTGTCCCGCTCCCCTTCTCTCATTATGTCTTTTTAATTTCGTCTCAATCAAATCACTTTAAAGTAGTTTTCATTTACCGTGTTTTCCCAGCGTAATGACGATTTCTTTTAATGATTCAATTGCAGAGCTTCCTTCAGTTGTAATGCTGTCAAGTCCAGAAAGACATTTCTGCTTTGATGCAGCACAGGCCTTTTAAAGAGAAAGAAAATTTTTTTCAAATAATATTCACAGAAAAACAAAAGAAGGCGAGAGAAAAAAGAAAGATGAACAATATTTTTGTGTAAATACCTTTAAAATACTGAATAAAGTTGACCTCCCTAAGTATTCAAAATCGTTTTCCTTGCAAGTTGCAATATAAAGGTCTACTAATCTCGAAGATGTAACTGTTCTTACGACGTTTGGAATTTCCATTGTTGTTCCATTCGAGAGTTTTAGAGTCCTAGTGCCGAATGCAACATCTTGTAGAAAATGTGGTTGAGAGATGAAATCAATAAAATGATCAACTTTTGCTGGATTCAAACGTGTTCGATGTGTTTTAGGTATCTCTTTCGCCGTTCCTGCTCCATAAAGTGCTGCATGTTTTCTGGCTTCGTCTATTCGCCACGTAGTTATTCCTGGCATCATTTGCTTGAGTTGTGATTTTGAGTAATCTTGGGAAAATATTGAGAGGATTTCCAAACGAGTGGTCCTCGAACTTGTGTCTTGGTACAAGGTTACAAGCTTCTGGACAACTTCATTCTCGGGAGCAACTGTATTTCGTTCAAATTTGTCGCTGGAAATTATCTCAAAGAGTTCATTAGACTGACCCGGTGCGATGCATTCTAAGGTAGCAATACAAGTTTGTAATGATTTCCTTTTGTAGTATCGAGCGGTACTTTGCGAGACGTCTCTAATTGGGGAACGGAGTTGTGCTCTGATAGGACTCACATCTCGTCCATGAACGCTTCTGATCAAGTTGTTTATAGAAACAAGTTGGTGACCTTTTTGAGGTGTAGGGAAATATTCTGGTCCACTGTCAAGGCTGATAACTGAGTCATCGTTAGACTGAAAACTTTCTTCAAAATGGACTTTACATGTGTTCACAATTGTTGTCGTTGTTGCACTTGCGGAAGAACGCTGACAAAAGATACCAAATTGAAACTTAAAACGACATTGATTCCGAAATTGTTTATGTATCTTTGATATATTCATATACTGTATACAGAGCCGTCAGAGCATGCAAATGGGTTAATGGATAAACCAACTGTTCTTTTGATCGATCATAATTCACTAATAAATTTCTAAATATATCAATGAACCTTTTTGCAGTTTTCCACATCCATAGTCATTGTGTTTGCTGAATAAGATTCTTCACATTTTTCTTCTTTAAATGTCTGAATATGAAAATAACCACAAGTTCGTTTCCTTTTAATAGTAAAACTATTGGTAACGCTTTGTTAAGCTTGAATTTGCTAGTGATTGTGGTCGCAGATGCCTACTGCAGCTTGCTTGGTGGCGCATCATCACTTACTCCCTCCCCCCTGAAAATCCGTCTATGCCTATGGACCCAGGTCCAGTCTTGAATATGAATGTTACTTTGTAAAAGTAAAAAACTGCTGTATTTGTTTATTCGAAACACGTTACCTCCTCGTCTGTATCCAGTGTTGATCCTTCGACCTTCTTATTAACTTCTTCTTTATGCTTTTCTCTGCATAGTCTGCATATACCTATTATGTGAATGCATAAAATCTTATGGTGTTTATTATTAATCAAAATTATTTAATTACGAATATCATTATAAAACCTATATTCCTAAACTGTTGAAAATATATCCTTTAGACCACAAAATATCAGTTAGACGTAAAAAAAATATCTGTGGTTCCGGTTCCCGACCGACCCTATTTTTTTCTGCCGACCCTATTATTTTTTCAACTCGATTGACCGTGCAACCCTATTTTCTCCGGGTGGTTGCGGGTTGCTGCCAAAATGGCGTCTGTTGTCACACTAATTATTGAAAAAACCATGAAAAAAATATTTAAAAAAAAATTATTTCCGACCTACCGACCCTAATTTTTTTGCGACATGAAACCGGAACCACAGGTATTTTTTTACGCCTTAGTAAGAGTGCTGGTGTTTGTAAGTTAGATGTCGAGCACTTGTTGCTATTGGTAAACTACTGGAAGTTCACAGGGAGATAATTATGTATGTTGTTTTAGACTTTAGTAAAAATTACAAAAAAGCGAATAAAACGTTTTTACCACGTATCGAACCAGACTCCAGAGCATACGGCACGCAGTAGTTGGAATCTCTACCACTAGAGCGCCAATCCCAAGGACTGCTGTGAGCGTAACCGAAATAAAGACTATTTATATTTTTCTTTAATCTATCTTTTTTTTCGTACTTCGCATGTCCTAACAATCATGTAATTACAACCAGGTTGGATGCTCTCACTTCCTTATGAGTTATGGCGTTCAAGCTGCACCATCCTAGACTTAGTGAGAACTATCAACAATTCTTTGAATTCATTTTACCCGTGCAATTATATGCTGCAAAAATTATAATTATAATTTATATTAATTTACGACAAATTGAAAAGATCACTTACCAGAACCAACTGAAACAAACCTTTCCCAAATGTCATTAATTTCCATTGACATTTTCTTTGTAACACCCCTCTCTGGTTTTGCCTGCGAGGATCCGTGAAGAGGGTGTGCGCACCCACGTTTTGGGCGCCAGGAAAGACCAAGATTCTCTCTGTGTCGTGGACATACTGTTAACCCCTCCCCGTTGCTACCAAATATGCCCGATCTTAATAGAATAAGATCGCCTTCTGATGCTGCTGCTTGTCTAGATAAGTTTAAACGCCGGAGATGCACTTGTATATCCCTTTTACATGCTAATATTGGCATACACTCCTTCATAGAAGGGTATCTCGAGCAAAGACCACAATCAGTTTCAAGCCTTTGCCCAACTGAACATTTAACAACCTTTGGTGTTCCTGGTAGCATGTTTTTCTTTCTTTGTAAACTACATTTCTGTTTTCCTATATATATTGACGAACACGTGAAGTTTACAACTCGTGAGGAAAGCCGCTGACCGGGAATACATTTTTCCAAGATGGCGGCCCATTGTTTTGATTTGTTCATTTCAACAAATGTCAGTTCTTTTAAAGTAGTTTGCTTGCCTTGAGATAACCATTTCTTTTTTATTTCAACCACAGTTATCAACATTAGTTTAATAGCAAAGGAAAACATTGGCAAAGATATGTAAATATAAAAATTATGTATTTCAAAATACATCGAAAGGCTGTTGTAGACTTGTAGTATATAGGTAGTATAATAAATGGTCATAAAACTACCCTCGCACTGCTTTTTATAAAGAATATCATATTTATATTGTTTTTACTCGCCTCTGTTATTATGTGCAAGATACATTAATATATTATTCAATTTTTCTTCTATTCCTGCTTGTAAAACTTGCTCATTATTCTATTGTCAGATAATTCAATGTTGTTTAATGACATTATTTGCATGTCTGATGAGTAATTGTATACGGACTTTACAGTTAAGCAGTTTGTTCTGTGTTATGAATTTTTTTAACATTATGCAAATGTTCAACATAGGGTATATTTGTTGCCTGGCCATGAGAAATGTATTAAATATCCCCAAATTTTTGTTGTTGTTTAACCAAGTGTATGGACAGCTTTTAATAACTGTGTGTCAATTATACTTCAATCAAGTTGTTCAACGGAGATATTCCCTCTCAAAATGGTCCAAAAAAAAATTTAACGAAAAATGGAAAAAATGTCTCTTATTTTTGGTGTTGCCATGACAACCAGCCCTAGTGGATGACATAAACAATTACATATTATGAAGGTCGGGTGTCTTTTAGTTTAGCAGCCGAAATATCATTTCATTTGAGTGTGTTTTTATAATTTTATAATGTACTAAATATTACTTAGCAAAGGGCATTTTTGGAGCCGTAAACGACCCAAAATCATGGTGGGTGGATAATTCCGTTACCGTGCAATATTTTTACCTCAAACTTTTATCAGATCAGATACTTAATATCCTCTATATATGTGCCAAATTTGAGCAAATTCTGTGAGTTGACGTTTATCACCACTTGCAGGGTTCTGCATGGTTCTTACATGGACACACTCTTAAGTAAGCAGTCACATATCACTTGTAAGATAAAACGTTTATTGCAATTACACAATAGAGTAGAGTTTCAAAGAGTTTCAAAGGTACCACTACAATATTTATGAAAGCAGTGAAAATACCTTGCCAAAATCTATTGTATCTGTGCTTAGAAAGATTGTATGCTTTGACAAAATACTTGGCATATTGATATGGTGATATGTAGGTATAGTAAGTAAAATGTCTTGATCAGACTGTACATTGCACCACCTCTCTCACTATCAGTGGCGTAGCGAGGGGGGGCATGAGCCCCGACGGCCTGCCCTTGTGAAAAGTTGAAATCTGGGCAGGAAGAGGGAGGGGCTAAGTAGCCCATACGATGTGTGATTGTGTGGTATTCCCAATCTAGAATCCTAACTCCTAAGTAAAAAAATGCCTATGGTGGTTGAATTTACGCACACAGCACTGATAGCAGCGATCATGAGCGACTTTGAAAATGGCGGCCAAGTTGGCTTTAGTTAAGCCTGGCGCACACAATGCGATTTTTGTTGGCCGATAAAAATCGTTTGACATACCGATATACATCGTTATACTCCCCACACGGTTACGAAAAAAATACACTCCCTGAGCTGTAGCCGCCATGTTGCCAAATAAATAGAAGCACGTGATCACAGCATGTAATCTGATTGGTTATACTTAAAATTCCACCGAGAAAAATCGTATAATATCAAAACGTTTTGATGTTGTCCGATTAGAATCGAGCAACAAAAATCGGTTAAAAATGACACTGCACACACAACGATTTTGTTAGTTTTAGTCAAACGATTTTTATCGGCCGACTAAAATTGCATTGTGCACCAGGCTTAAGCCAAATCATAAATAATTCTTAATATATTTTGACATGTATCCTACTTTCTTTTGGTTTAGAAACAAAACGTTGCCATTTATGGCTTTCAAGATATTTGATGCGGGAAATGCAGTCTCAGAGGCCCTAGAATTAAAAAAATCTCCAGGGGGCATGCCCCTGGACCCCCCTAGGAGACTCGCGTCTTCAACGGTTGCTTGTTAAGCCCCCCCCCCCTAATCTCGAGACTGTGGCCACGCCACTGCTCACTATGTCTACAGTATGAAAATATTGGCAAAGATGATGACCTTGATGAGGAATTGTTACAGACATCGATAACCAGCTTTACAAGACATCAGCCACAGTGTGCCTCGGATTCAGAAGGAAGTGAAACAGAGCAGGTATTTGAAGTTCTTTGAACATCTTAATATATGTTATTATAAGACAGTACCTTACCACTGACCAAACTTTCTCTCGGTTTCAACACATACAACACACACGAGCATAACTTACAAAAAGATCGAGTAGAGTCCATGAGAAAAACAGATTTTGCATTTGTTACAAAATATTCGCTACAACCAAGTGTAAATACCCAAGCAAAATTATTACTCCTGCTCCGGAACAGCGCAATGCATTGTTGCCTCAGAGAGAATACTAATGTGCAGTAGGGATGGTTAGTAAATTGGGGTTAGTACATCTATGACAAATTTCAGGGTTTGTTTGAAAATAAAAGTACCGATAAGCTTTTAAAGGTAGGAAAACCATTTATTGTTATTGCAGCAGTTTTGACATAAGTGTTTTGGGTGGAGACCTTAAGATTAACTAACTGCATTTTTACTGCAGATCCACTTTGCTGAATGAATAGGATAGTTTTGTCAGCAATCAGTCGTACTGTCATTGTAGGCGACGGTTCCCCATGCTTTGTCACATGTACACAGTCATTAATTCTTGGCAACTTTTGCGGGTGTGATATGACATGTACAGTTTGCAGTATTTCATTAATTCTAATTTTAAATTGTTTAGCCACTAAATTCAAAGAGAACCAGATATGAATCTGAAACAAAGAGTAGGCTTTGTGTAATTTTTCCAGACATCAGTGAAAATGCTATTGAGTTGGCAGCTACTAGAAGTAAAAGCCTTGATGAAGCAGTTGATGCCATGCTTTCTGAAAATTCAAACACGGATGAAGGTACTGTAGTTTTTTGTGTTTCAATTAACTCGTTAACTGGCAGTACTCTTCCTTCCACTGACAAGTAAATTTGTCTGGCGTTACTGTACAGTCTTTTTGGGCTGTGGCAGTATAAAATATATTGCATAATATACTATTACTATACAACAAAGCATGTGGTTAGCTTTTAGGTGTACAGCAACCTTAAGAAATGGTAGTCCATGTAATGCCGTGAGTGCCACCTTTCTACCTAGGGAGAGGGGTCATGGGACATGCCCAGAAAATGTTGATATTTAGAGTGATTTTAGACCCTCTGGAATACCATTTTTTAGACATATTTCTGGAATGTTATTTTGAAGACATTGAGAATGTTATTTTGAAGACATTTCCGCTGTGAAAGAAAAGTTCTGTGCTGCAGAACTATTTAGTATTTTTGAAGGTCCGCATAGCAGATTGTTGTTCAGGTATGATCAATCTTGTCTGGCAGGTGGAATACCAGAGATTTTAGGAAAATTGGTGGCACAAAGTCTCGTACACGGTTGTGGTGGATTCTCATATTTGGCGCCTTCGCATTACTATTACATAGCAACTACAGACATACAGAGAGCATCAGCTTATGCTTCCATTAATGATGTGTACAACACAGAAAAACGTGACATGCTGGACAAGGTACAGTACAGCATGTTGTCTATCAGTTTTATAAATTACCGCGATAACACGTTGGAAGTTGACAAAATTGTTTGGAAGTTGACAGTCTGTGTATTCATGCACATTACCAATGCTTATATGCCAATAACGGCCGGTGGCATATGGAATTTGTTAGCACTCTCCTGTGTTTCAATATAATTCTAAACACAGCCCCTTCGACATGCACGGTTCATGCAATGTAATTCAATGTTCTATTAACAATATGACAATGTATAATCTGAACTCAATGGTCCAAATAATAGCTTGAAGGTTGGGGGACAATGCATTTTTTAAGGATTTTTCAGCGGTGGGGCAAAACTGCCAAAAGGCCCATTTTCTTTGCCCTGCCCCCAGGATAGTATGCGATCGCCGAAGGTGTGAGCCAAGTACTGCAGGTACGAGTTAGTTCTGAAATAGCATTTCCTGCATTCTGAGAACACATTTAAAAAAAATCTCAGCTTCTCAAAACACAGGCGGCGCAATCTCGCAAGGGTCAGTATAATAATGTATATTATTATAGTAAAAATATGTCATAAAATATAAATTTTAAAATGAAATTGACTTGCCCACTTGATAGTGTGTATTCTCCTTTTATTCCTGTTTTGTTGGACTAATATTTTCCAAAGTCTCGGAAAATATTAGTCCAACAAAAGAGGAATAAAATGAAAATACACACTATCAAATAGGCAAGTCAATTTCATTTTAAAATTTATATTTTATGACATGTTTTTACAATAATATACATTGCAACACTGAGTCTGACCTTGCGAGATTGGTCCGCCTGTGCTCAAAACAAAGTTTTAATGGTGAAATTTGTACTTAATAGTTTTTAATCATTGTCACTCAAATATCTTAGTTTCTTTCCTTCCTATCCAAATGGGATTAGATAATTTGCTGACAACCTGACGACTGGGGGCGGTTCCCACACTCATCCATCACCCACCCATTTAGCGGCACCCAATTGACTGTTCTGACTTTTATATGATGGAATGTCGAGAATGTGAGAAGATATGAGAAAGTAGGCAGATGCAGCTTTTTCAACAAGGTTTACTTTTTACTAATGATCAAAAGGGCCCAGTTCAACTGAGAATCTTGCTTCACTACTGGGGTAAACAAAGGGCCTACTGGAGTAAATGCCCCAGTAGTTATATAGTTAAAAAATGCCCTGGTGGGGGAAGGCAAATTAGCAATGCTTAAAATTAGGCAGAGCCTGTCAAAATGTAGGGGTTGATATTAATCTGAGTATTTTCTTAACCTAGGGCACGACAAATTTACTGGCGGCCCTGATTTTATTTACAGTACCTTCTATCTGCAACTGCATAGCATCACCCTAAACACGGACTACAGTACTCAGTAATTGTTATATAATTTGTTATATATATTATAGTTGATATCAGCTAAGGAAAATGATGAACTCCAAGAATTGAACTCATCTGAACCATTCCTAAATGTTCTCCAAGATAGTGGATTGGTAACCTTACCAAATGTATGTACACCTCAACCCCATATTGCCAAATGCCTACTGCAGCATATGTACTCTGCTATTGTGCTGCCTCTGATCTGCTTGCATGATAACAAATTTGGAGCAATGTGGGAAAAATCCATTTTGTTTAGGGAGTGGTCATTATTTATGGGGAGGGGGTGTATGGGTGTCAGCGAATGGGAAAATGCTGATAGAAAACATTTTCAACCCCCCCTTGAACATTGAAGGTAAATTTTTTAACCCCCCTTTGATGGAAACAGTATAGATAATGACCACTCCCTTAATTGTGACCACTCCCTTAATTGCATTATATCCTTGCTTGTGACATGTCTTACTGTGTCACTGAACTTTTAAGCCTAATAGTCTGTAATATTTTGTAATTACAAATCAAACATTTGCTTTCTTGCGTGTAGGTTGACAACAGCATTGCCATTGCTGAAGCCATGGTGTCCTATCATGTGCTTGTGAAGAGAGCTGTCATGCTAGACAATTTTGCAAAGGGTCTCCAGACGCTAGGGGTCCTTGAAGAAATTAGGAAAAACCCTAGCCAGTTTGAGGAAGTTTTCTTACACAATGAGAAAGCTGTGAGCGCATCTGCTGTCTTGTAAAGTATTTTCTTCAAGTCGGAAGATGCCACAATGTATGCGATGCTAGCAAGTTTTATAAATGATGCTAGTAAACAGGGTATGTAACTGCAGTTTGCATTATGTAGGACTTAGCTGATAATGAGACAAGGTGCTAGGTGCACCCTACTATGTTCCTCAAAAAATATTTCCAGGGTGCTGTCTAATATTAACTAAGACGTTGGTACTTTAATCATAGTTAATTTAACACTAACTATGCGTTAATGGACCAATCCCCTATTAAATAGCCTGTGTACAGCCGTTACTCCCGATGAAGCGTGCGAGAGAACGGCTGTACACAGGCTACTATTAAACTGAACTAGGAGAATTCATTAGTACAGCTGGAAAGAGCATCCTTAATTTTGAACGCTTTTCCGCGCATAATATAAATATATACAAAATTTGTGAAATTTGCATGGCTATAATTTCCACATTTTACAATATGTCGCAACAAAATTTTGCAATTTTACTAAATTAAGGATGTTCTTTCCAGCTATGCTAATGAATTTTCCTAATCCTAGTTCAAAATTTAGTTTAATAGGGGATCGGTCCCATTAATGCAAGTTTTTACAGTTCCAAAGAGGAAGAAGAGTCAGCCGTATTTTAATATAATTTTATATCTTTTTAGAATTGGAAAGCTTGTTAAAATTCATTACTGGCATCAGCTCAGTGCCATTTACACACGTTGTTTTGGAGGTCAATTCAACATCGACATCGATATTTGCCTCTACATGCTTAATGAAGCTATGTCTGGCTGCGATGCTAGGGACTCTTGACCAAGAATCATTTAACTCAAGCATGTCTGCAGCAATTCGGCAAGAAGGAAAAGAATTTACTTCGTGCTGATTTTCGTAACCCTCTTTCCTGAATCCAGATGCAACACGTTATTGGGTGCAAATGTGCAAACTATTTCCAATCAATTGTCACATGCAGTCGTAGATTTTATAATTGCTTTTTATTGTTATAGTTTTGTTGGCAGGGAAAGACCACTATATAAAGCATGTTGTGTTTTAAAATATTACATTCTATATTGTTGTTTGCTCATGTCAAGTGTTAGAGATGATCTTATTGGCATAATTTCGTAATCGCTCAATGCAGGCATTTTTAATAAGTGTGTTTTTTGCACACTTTGTGTCATTGTGAACCAAAAGTGTGTCCTTGTACAGTAAATCAAAATATGTATCCTCGAGGATGAGAAAGAAATGAAGAAAATGTTTACATGTATGATCTATTGACCATATTTGAGATCATAAAATATGTCTTGAACTTTTCAAAATTTAACAAAATCTTACCTGGAGGAGGGTTTCCCACCCGCCTAGGGTGCCTAGGGTATCTCACGCTGACAGGTGTTCGCCCCTCAAAAAAACCGTGACCCCGGCTATATGCCACTGGAGTTTACTTTAGCGAGATCTTTCAAAAGTATGGTTTATAAAACTCCTTATTTTAATGCCTGGAATGACTGGTATCAACTGTTTACATGAACTCAGCTTTAATTAAAGAATAGAGCTTGATTTAATGATTTAATAATGTTCGACAACTACTAAATTTCAATTTTAAAAATGTAGTGCCAGGATACTCGCCACAGTGTCCCCAATTACGGCGAGTCCTTAATAATTACATCTAAATCACGTTAATATTAGTATTGAATAATCTAATAACAGACAACTGACATTATGCTTAACAAAACATAACATACAACAAAACATAACATACATGCAACTAGCAACACCTTAAAACACCGTCCAGGGACCTCGCCCTTCTACATTTAACACATATCGACTTCCATGTGCGTGGATCGTCACAATTGTATATTTTGGATAGCGCGTGTTCGTAATATGTCTTCAGTTTTGATTTAAAGGTATTCAGACCAATATCTCTGTGACGAAGATCACAGCCCAAAATGTTCCATGTTTTACATGCTCTAATGAAATAAGAAGTCTGGAAGGTCACCGTACTGGCAAATGGTATTGAAAATTTATATAGTTCTCATTTGTTTCGTTCCTCGTTATTCCAGAACCAGCCATTGTTGGTCGAGCACTGTCATCGATATATGTGTAGCCATTAATTATTTTGTAGAGTAGAACTAAATCCAAATATTCGTGCCAATAAGTTAAAGGAAGTAAGTCGAGTTGAAGTAGTCTTGTTGTATATGGAACGTTGGTGATAAAACCGAGATTTAAAATGTATTTTGTCGCCCTTCTCTGTACCTTCTCGATATTCTCGATTAATTTGATTGTTTGTGGAGACCATACTTGAGACGCATACGCAAAATTGTTGCGGACCAGTTGTAAGTAAAGGTACTTCCTCGCCCCGATGTCATGCATTTCCATTGTAGTCCGTCGTATAAATCCAAGCATTTTATTAGCTTTAGATTGCACCCTGTTTACTTGATTGATCCAGGTTAGGTTGGAATTCATAACGACGCCTAGATCAATTTCAGTGTTAGACAAAGCCAGTTGTTGACCGTCAAGACTATACAAAGTGATTAGCGGAGATGATTTCCTTGTGATAGAGAGTACTTCTGTATATCTTCTTGTAAAACCAAGGCATCAGAAGGGTTCTGCACGGCTTTATAGAGTTTGGTGTCATCAGCGAACAAACCGACCCCAGTAGAGGAGGATAAGTGGTTAGGTAAGTCGTTTATGTAAATAGAAGAGGAAGGGACTCAATAATGATCCTTGTGGAACGCCAGATGTAATAGGCAAGGATTGTGATGTAGCTCCATGAACAGTTACCCGCTGGAAGCGTCCTGATAAATAATAATAGCTTACTATGTTAATATATTGCGTGATTCCATTATTGTCTCTCACTGCCTGAATTTCTCTTCTAATATGATGTAATTGCTCATCTGTAATGTTAACTGAATACTGAGGAACCATAACTTGGTAGTTTTGTTGTTGTTGTTGTTCTGGGACAGGACCATTTTCATCAATGCCTAAAATTGAAGGCTGCACTACATCTTGTACTACGGTAGATGATGAACTGCTCTGAGTTATCATCCCCCTGATCCACAACTGCTGTGGTGAATAATTGCATTCAGTTGACACTGGATGATTGTTCCACTGTGAACAAAATTGATCCAATGCATTGTTAATTAAGTCTAGACACACAAATTGAAGGACAAACAAGTGCATTTCATTGGATGGATCTAGCATATTATTCCCCTCGACATATAAAAAAATATTCAGAAACCGAGAAACAATAACTCTATTGACGTCACGCCAAAGTCGCTCATTGTGTTGGTTATGGACAGATGTGCCTGTAATGATACTTCCACAATTAATCCCCCTTTGCTGAAGCATATGAAGCATATATCTTCCCACTTCAATGTTTTCCAAACCAAGATCGGAACAAACCCGAGATGGTAGGTTGTACCTCTCAACTGTTGAATGAAATAGATTCAACACAGTCGCAGCGGCGTTGTTGGTCGATGCTTGAAAGAAAACAACTAAACGTGAATAGCCATCAATACCTCCATGGATAACTATTCTGTATGGTTGAATTAGTTTGTGGTTTCCATCTATGTGCCTAGAATAAAAAATCCAACATTTTTAGCTTAAGTTCTTGTGCAGACACTGTATCAAAACTTTGCTGTTGCTTGAGTGTGTAACAAAATTTTGGGGTACCCACATTTAACATAAAACAGTTTCTTTCATGACAGTAACTGCTTACTTATAATTGCAACATGGTGAACCATCACTAAGTACAGCATCCTACTGTACAGTATATGTCAACAGGCTCATCAGATATTTGAAAAATACAATTTCTTACATGGTAAGGGGGGGGGGGGGTGGAACCAGCCTACAGTACATCTGTACCACCAACGCAAACAGTTAAAATTGAAATCATCTCAAATCAGAATTTCTCTGATGTTTATTTAAAAATCTTTGCTCATTTTCCTGACAAATATGACAGCCCATGCAACATCCACAAAAAGTCCACATAATCTGTAAAAAGGTCTTCCCATGAAGACTTCAATCTTAGTGATGTGCACAGAACAATACTTGATGAACTTAGAAAACACATTCACTCAGCGCTTTTCTCAAGGGTGTAAATAACCAAGCAGAATTAGTACCCTGGTTAGTAGCCTCAGGCTAACGTCTAGAACGGTGGTTTGTGCTGTTCGCTAGGGAACCAGATAGTTGTCTACCAGATACTTTTCCCAGATACTTTTCCCAAAATGACAACTGGATAATAATGCTCCCAATACTTTACTGACCCTACCCTAATAATATAAAACAGAGAGTAGTTTACCAGAAAGCATCGGATATCTGTATTTTGCAGGGTACTGGTACATCCCTACTTGGAACAGAACACCTGTGGCATGTTAGATACTTGGGTATTTCATGTTTTTGCCTAACAACCCATTTCATTGATATATGTTTGCAATCCGAAACAAAAGCTCTGCCCAACTATTGTAAAAGTATAAATAAAGAAATTATACTTACCACAATGAATTTGGAGCTTTGACGTTATTACTTTCTTTGGATTATTTGCCTTGCATTTCGTAAAGTAGAAGCGACTGGATCTACTCTCCTTAACTCTTTCTCGACAACCGGGTTTCGTATTACATTTCGATACAATTTTTCTAATATAAATATCTCGGCGAGTATTTACCCCCCTTTTAAATAAATGCCACCATTGAAATCCTCACAATATAACCTTTCGAACGGGGGGTCAAGTGCCGTCAAAACATTACACAAACCGAAACAATCATATATTTATACTCACGGCTTCACCAAACATTCAAACGGGAAAAAGTTGAATATATTCTAAAATTTGGCATCATTTTCTGAAAGGATATATGTGCAAAATACTCTTTGTATCCAAGCGCTTTAGTGTAGAAAGTTTCGTATGAATACGGCGAGTAGAAATATTTATTTTGAATTTTTCAAGGTATCGGGTTTTACTCGCACGCGCTTGTATTACGTAATACTTGTCCAATAAGGGGCTCTCTTTAGCCGGGATGACGTGAAACTCACGCG